TTCAAAGGGCCGTGCTTTGGGAATGGTCCACTAAGCTGCGTGGTAAACTGCCATATTGTATGGCGCTGATGGCTGATGCTTGTAATCCTAGCTACTCATGAGGTTGAGATCTGAGGATCACAATTTAAAGCCAGCCTGGAAACCATAGTCCATGACTTTTTTTCCTTGTCAGTTCTGGGGTAAGAACTGTCTCTGAGCTTTTGTTCAAGACTAGTACTCTACCACTTGAGCCACAGTGCTACTTCTGGCTTTTTCTGTTTATGTGGTACTGAGGAATCAAACTCAGGGCTTCAAGCATGCTAGACAAGCACTCTAGCACTATAGAATTATGTGTGTACCACTACATCTGTTAAGAATCAACTCCATCTATAGCTCCTTAGTTTATGCTCTCTGCAGAATGCTGGTTCTTATTTTTCTATCTGCGCAGATTTACCTCTGTAATTTTCTTCTTGTTACAAGCAGATTTACAGGCTGTGGGGTGGGTGCTAAACATCACTGAAGTAGGTTACCGATGCCTCTAGCTCAGCCAGCCATTGATAAACCAGCCCCCATTCCCTGGGTAGAAGGCCTCATTCTCTCTGGTTTCTTTGGGTAGATATACATTCCCACTCTTCTTAGAGCCTCCTACTTCTGGGGCTGTCCTTATCTGCTCCTTGCAGCTTCACAAGATACATTTTGGGCAGCCTGGCTCCTTCCGCTCCAACCACTCCAACACTGATTCCTTTCTTTTTCTCTTGCATGTTTTTGAGTGGATACTTTGTTGAAGATTCTGGTTGCATTTTTTAGGAGGGAGATAATCTTCTGAGAGCTTTTCTGAGTCCCCTCCCATGCCTATGTGATAATCCTTTCCAGCTTCTTCGCAGCCTATTTTATGAAATAAGATAAAAGGCAATAGAGGAGGAACTAGTTCCCAGTACTGTTGTGCCCACAGAGGTTAGAGATTGGGAGTACAGGAAAGGGGGAGGAGGACATCTTAGTCAGGTAGTCAACGGAACAAGCAGATGTACTATTATAAGATAGGAGGCTTAAACTAGGCCAAGCATTGAGGCCAGAGCCAGAAGTTGACTTTTGGGGAAAGTTACAAAGAGTTTGAATTAGACAGTGTCTATTTGTTGGAAGACCTTGAGAAACAATTACAGAAGACTTTGTGTTTAAGTCAAATCTGCTTTCACCCAGGATTCCTGGAAAGACAGGAATGTACTAGATGGATGTTGCTTTTTCTATTAACCCATTATAGAGATGGGGACAGCAGGCAGAGGCCCTCCCTGCTCACTTCCAAGACCCAGTATCCTGTAGGACAGGATATTGGAGCCAATAGCACTTCTGTTTTGCTTATCTGATGCCTTTACTGCTAACACTGAGTCTTATCAACTCTCCTGTAGGAAGAGGGAACAGCTCCCTGTCAGGTCCTGGGGGAGATGCTTATAAAGCTGAGGTTGAATTTGAGGGGTTCCCCCCTCTTTTCTGTGTGTGTGTGTGTGTGTTAGTACTGGGGCTTGAACTCAGGGTCTGACACTCTTGACTGCCTTTCTTGCCGAGGCTGGCTTGAAACGCTGATCTTTTGATCTCAGCTTCCTGAGTAGCTAGGATTACAGGTGTGAGCCACCAATGCCTGGGCTCCATTTTTCAAATGAGATGGTAAATAGCCATTTCATGAGGCTGTGTGGAAGACTGAGATCAAATAATGGCAAATGCTCCATTTTTCCTATTCTTCCATCACTTCTTTCTCCAATATGACAACTTACTGTGAGATGACTAAGGAATTCAAATCTCTGACTAGTGTAAGTACCATGAGATGATGTAGTATTATCTGTGGATGACGCATGTTAAATAGGAATGGTAGGTAGAATTCTAAAGCTGCCTTTCTTCAACTGCTATTCAATCTATTAAATCTAACACTAAATCTACTGAAGATATTCTGACCTGTAACATAAGCAATGGATCTTTTTTTTTTTTTTTTGCCGGTTGTGGGGATTGATCTCTAGGCCTGGGCACTGTCCCTCAGCTGGTCAGCCCAAGGCTAGCACTCTACCACTTGAGCCACAGCGCCTCTTCTGGCTTTTTCTTTTTTTTTCTTTTTTTTTGTCGGTGGTGGGGCTTGAACTCTGGGCGTGGGCGCTGTCCCTCAGCTCTTCAGCTCAAAGCGAGCACTCTACCACTTGAGCTACAGCGCCACTTCTGGTTTTCTGGTGGTTTATTGGAGATAGGAGTCTCACGGTCTTTCCTGCCCGGGCTGGCTTTGAACCGCGATTCTCAGATCTCAGCCTCCTGGGTAGCTAGGATTACAGGCGTGAGCCACCAGCGCCCGGCTCTTCTGGCTTTTTCTGCTTATGTGGTGTTGAGGAATTGAACCCAGGGCCTCATGCATGCAAGGCAAGCACTCTACCACTGAGACGCCACCTTCCCAGTCCGGAGCAATGGATCTTAAAACAAGGAGATCACCCTGAATTACTTCTGTGGGTGTAACCTAATCCACTTGAGTTTCTTCCAAAAAGGGAATTAGCTGAGTATTGTAGTATATACTTTGAATCCCAACACTTGGGAGGAGGATCACAAGTCTGAGGCCAGCATGGGCTACCTATTGAGATCCTGTCTCAAAAATCAAAACCAAGGTTGGGAATGTGGTTTAATGGTAGAGTGCTTGCTTAGCATGCATGGAGCCCTGGGTTCAATTCCGTTGTAACACATAAACAGGAAAGACTGGAAGTGGCGCTGTGACTTCCAGTGGTAGAGTGACAGTCTTGAGCAAAAGCAGTTCAGGGACAGTGCTCAGGCTCTGAGGTCAAGCCCCAGGACTGGAAAAATCTATCAATCAATCAATCAATCAGTCAACCAACCAATCAATCAGGCAAGTTATAAAGATGTAGTAGAGCTAGGCACAGTGGCTCACACCTGTAACTCTAGCTACTCTGAAGGCTGAGAAGGATCTAAGTTTGAGGCCAGAGGGATGGACTGGGAAGCAGGAGACCCCTGTTAATCAATAGCTGAGTGTGGTAGTGTATGCTTGTCATTTTGACTACGGTGGGAAACTTAAGCTAGAAAGGTTAGGATCCTTCTGGGCAAGGAGTAAGAACTTAAAAAACCACTGTAGAATACTGTGAAATTCCAGAAATTATGTAATCACCTAACCACAATCAAAAAAAAAAAAAAAAGAACCTGGGGAAGGTAGGGAGGGAAGGGATGGTAAGGGGAAAACAATGGAGGGGGTAACAATGTTCAAGAGGAAGTGTACTCATTACCTCACTCATGTAACTGTAACCCTCTGTATAGTATCTTTACAATAAAAAAAAAAAAAAAAAAAAGAAAAGAAAAAAAGAAAAAAAAAAAAAAACCAAAGAAATAAAAAAACAAAACAAAACAAAAAAAAAAACCACTGTAGGGCTGGCTATGTTGCTCAGTGGTAGAACCCTGCTTTAGCAAGCATGGGGCCCAGAGTTCAAACTCCAATAGTGCTAAAAAAAGGAGAGCATACACACACACACACACACACACACACACACACACACACACAATTGTTGTTATTGGTAATAGGGCTTGAACTCAGGGTACTATCCCTGAACTCTTCAGTTTGAGGTGAGCACTCTACCACTTGAGCCACAGCACCACTTCCGGTTTTCTCATGGTTAATTGCAGAGAAGAGTCTCATAGACTTTTCTGTTCTGCCCAGGCTGGCTTTGAACCTTGATCCTTAGATCTCAGCCTCTTAAGTAGCTAGGATTACAGGCATGAGCCACCAGTGCCTGGCTGAGAGCAAATATTTTGCCAGGCACAGGAGGCTGAAATCTGAGGATCACAGTTCAAAGCTAGCCTGGGCAGGAAAGTCTTTAAGACTCTAATCTCCAATAAATCTCCAGAAAACCAGAAGTGGCTCTGTGGCTCAAGTGGTAGTGCAGTAGAGCAATAGCCTTGAGTTGAAGAGCTAAGGGGCAGTGCCCAGGCCCAGAGTTCAAGCCCCATGACACACACACACACATACTCACTCTCTCTCTCTCTCTCTCTTGCGCGCGCGCACGCACTGTAGCCAGGTGCTATGGCTGATGGTTTAGGCCTGTAATCCCAGCTACTCAGGAGGATGTGAGATCTGGAGGATCATGGTTTGAAGCAAGCCTCAAAGCAAGTTTGTGAGGCTTTCCACTAAAATAACCAACACAGAGATTCAATGTGAAAAAAACCTGAGTAGCCATGGCTGATTTTGAAGATGGAGGCAGGAAGGTAGGAGCTGGACCTCTAGAAGCTGAGTGACTGGTAACTAACAGCCAGTAGGCAAAGATCTCAGGCCTGCAACCTGACAGACAATTCAGACAACATAAATAAACCTGGAAGATCTATCCCCAGAATTTATAAAAGGACAGAAATAAGAGTCTCATGGACTTTCCTGTGGGGGCTGGCTTTGAACCATGATCCACAGATCTCAGCCTCCTGAGTAGTTAGGATTACAGCCACTGGCGCCTGGCTACCTGAGACTTTTTTCCTCAGTGTTGATGATTGGGCCAGAGCTTTTCACCTGTTAAGTAATTAAACTAGCATTTAGCCTACATTCTCTAGCCACACCTGAGACTTCCAACCCATATAAAGTTAAATACTAAACAGAAGTTGTAAGTCACTAAATCTGTGACCATTTGTAACAGAAGACACAAAAAGTATTTGAGTTGCCTCAGTCAGCCTAGGAGGCACATGTTATTCTCTTTTCTTTTTTTTTGTGCTGGTATTTGAACTCAGGTCTTCACACTCTCGCGTTGCTTTTTTGCTCAAGGCTGGTACTCTACCACTTAAGCCATAGCTACACTTTCTGCCTTTTACTTTAACCATCTTTTAGATTTGTCTTCCTGGACAAGCTCTGAACCAGGATCCTCCGATCTCAGTCTCCTGACTAGCTAGGATTAAAGGTGCCCTGTAGCTGAATCTGCTCTCTTCTATTTTGTGGATAAGGGAGCCGAGAAAGTGTGATAGAAGACTCAGAAAGTCAGCAGATGGGTTTCAAGATGGGTCACTCTTGGTGACAATATTTGCTACCAAGTTCACTTGCAGTGTTCGTAGCAAGACATTTACAAAACACATTTTATGCAATCAAGTCTTCCCTGCCCTTGTACTCTGTGGGCTAGGGAAGACCTAGGTCTTCCAACAGTTACAACAGTCTTAGATAATGTGTTTATGGAAAACATGTTCTCTTCCTTTAGCAAGCAGAATTATTTATGAAGTGGTACCTCTCAGAAATAGGCAGCAAAAGGGGAAAAAATTACTTCAAAGAAAGCAATAGCACCTTTCCTGGTGGCATCTGTCATTTTACAAACATGAAATATTCATAGTAGAGACCCTATACCAGAACCACAACAATAAAAATTAGTCACTAATGGGGAATTAGCAGACTCTTTGGACACATTTTTTGAAAATATTCTGCAAATCAGAAATTAGTCCAGTGACTAAGTGCAGATGTTTGGAGATCTCTAGCTAATCCTCAAGTTCCTTATTCATATTCATCATCTGCCCCCAAACCTCCTCCCCAAGTCTGCACCCAACATTTGACAGCTGTCTAAGGACGACCATTCTTATTTTTCTGAGTGTGGTGCTGGGCATAGAACTTCGGGCCTTGCAGACTGTTCTGATGTTAAGTCAAATCACAGGTCTCAAGCATGCTCCTTCCATGGAAAGGTCTGTACACAGGATTCTAGAGAAACCAGTTTAGGTATTCTTCCGAGGCTGAGCCACCTGTGCCGCTAGCTCTAGTACCAGGAATAAATAATGAGTCAGCACCTTGTTCAATTGGTAGGGTTTAAATGATTTTACATTGTTAGGTGAAAGATTGCCACAATTCTGTGCTCATGGCAATTTTCAAAGGAAAACTTGAAACTGAAAATCTTGAAGGGGCCCTCACATAAACAGTGCCCTTCTGTCCCCCGGCCAGGCCTATGAACATAAAACATTTAGTAAACAGGACTATGGAAGGATTCAGTAGTAAGAGGCAGTCTCCGGGTTAGAAAAGGCCACTGTTTAAGTTCATCCTTGGGGCCCTGTGGTTTTGACCTGTGGCTGGCTGCTATCTTCATTGTAGGGGATTTGCGTTATCAGGTAGGTGCCCAAATCCTGGCGCTTGTAGAGGGCCACACTGTCCAATACCCACTCCCGCGTCACCACGGATGCTTCACACAACTGACTGATGGCTGGGGACAGAACACAAGCAGAAATTAGTGTCAACTATTTTTCCTGGCCAGACTCTTAATAAATCTACTCCTTCAACCTGATTATATAAGTTCTTAGGGTCAGGTAAGAGTCAAACTGTTTCTCTTAAGCAACGCTTCAGGATATAAGTGAGACCTTACTCAGAAGTCTGATGAATGATTGTTGGTAAAAAGTCCAGCTATTAACTACTGTATTACCATGAACTTTAGAGGAAAAGCCACCACAGAGTAAAACAACACTGCATTTTAATGATGTGCAAAAATACCTTTAGAACTAAACAATATAATGAGCACAATCACATTTGTGTAAAATACACATGTATACATATGTATATACATGTACTTATACTTGGAAAGTTTTTTTTTTTGTCGGTCGTGGGGCTTGAACTCTGGGCCTGGGCGCTGTCCCTCAGCTCTTCAGCTCAAGGCGAGCGCTCTACCACTTGAGCTACAGCGCCACTTCCGGTTTTCTGGTGGTTTATTGGAGATAGGAGTCTCACAGTCTTTCCTGCCCGGACTGGCTTTGAACTGTGATTCTCAGATCTCAGCCTCCTGAGTAGCTAGGATTACAGGCGTGAGCCACCAGCGCCCGGCTTACTTGGAAAGTTTTTATAAGGTCATCTCCAATAGTGGATTACTATTTGTTTTTGTGCTAGAGTACATTTTCTGTGATGAATATTCATATTTAAACCACCCACCATTGAAAATGTTCATGCATTATTATTATTGTTTTTCAGTATTTTGGGCCTTATGCTTTCTAGGAAGGTGTTCTACCACTTGAGCCAAATATCTAGACCTTTTTGCTTTTGTTATTTTTTGAACAGGGTCTCACATTTATGCTCAGGCAGGCTTGGACCACAGTCCTCTTTATTTATTTACTTATCTTTTTTGTTGTTGGTCATGTGGCTTGAACTCAGGGTTTAGCGCTGTCCCTGAGCTCTTTTGCTCAGGGCTAGTATTCTACCACTTTGAGCCATAGCGTAACTTCCTTTTTTTTTTTGGTTGGTCTCGGGGCTTGAATTCTGGGTCTGCGTGCCATCCCTGAAGTCCTCAGCTCAAGACAAGTGCTCTACCACTTGAACCACAGAGCCACTTCCAGTTTTCTGGTGATTAATTGGAGATAAGAGTTTCAGGGGCTTTCCTGCCCAAGCTGGCTTTGAATGACAATTCACCTCAGATTTTAGCCTCCTGAATAGCTAGGATTATGGGCATGAGCCACTGGCACAGGCTTCTATGAGACTCTTATCATCAACCAAATAGCAAAAAGACCAGAAATGGACCAAGTGCTAATAAGTTCAAACCCCATGACCAACAACAACAAAAAGTCTCATGGACTTTTCTGCTTTGCAGGCTTTGAATATGATGTTCCAGGTCTCAGCCACCTGAATATCTAGGATGAAACACCAATATTCAGCATATCATTATTATTTTTATAATATAAAACAACAACAAAATGTTTGAATCAAACCCACACAAAAGGACCCCATATGACATTGGTACATGGGGGAACTTACCCTGGAAGCTACTGTCTTCTGTCCAGGCATCTGGCTGTATGACCACAATTAGGGGAGAGCACTGCAACCCCAAGGAGAGAATATTGAGGAGGTCAGATTGGGGCTTTTGGAACGGTCTCTTTACTATTTCTTGTTTGCTGAAGCTGACTATGCTCAGGGTAGCCAGACAGTGGGGGAAGAGCACATGGCAAAAACAATTAGAGGGTAAAGGCCTCCCCTCAGTACAGTAAATACCACAGCTCCTAAGTCCCTAGCCCATTCAGATGAGTCTTCTGTTAGGAAAGACTTTTTTTGGCCAGTTGTGGGGCTTGAACTCAGGGCCTGGGCACTGTCCCTCAGCTTCTTTTGCTCAAGGCTAACACTCTACCACTTGAACCACAACATTTCCGGCTCTTTCTGTTTACGTGGTAGTGAAGAATCGAATCCAGGGCTTCATGCATGCTAGGCAGGCACTTTATCACTAAACTACATTCCCAGCCCAGGAAAGAATTTTTTTTTGGTTGGTCGTAGGTCTTGAACTCTTTTTTGTTGTTGGTCATGTGGCTTGAACTCAGGGTTTAGCGCTGTCCCTTAGCTCTTCAGCTCAAGGCTAGCACTCTCCCACTTGAGCCACAGTGCCACTTCCTGTTTGCTGGTTGTTAATTGGAGATAAGAGTGTCATGGACTTTCTTGCGAGGGTGGCTTTGAACTATGATCCTCAGATCTCAGCCTCCTGAGTAGCTAGGATTACAGGGGTGAGCCACCAACACTTGGCTAGGAAAGACGCTTTGAGGCTATACTCCACACCTGCTCAACTGCAGAAGAGAATATGTGTCTTCTTCTATGACAGGGCCCCAAACACTTACTGTGCCCACGGTGATTGATGAAAGCTCCTTTACTACTGAGGCCCCACACAGCTGCAGTACCCACTCCAGTTGATCTACATACGACAATCAGATCCTAAATCATTTCAGTGATCCACATATATAACCTGCTCCCTCCTCCACTGCCTCCCCAAAGGAAGTCTACAACTGGATTACTCAGTGGGTGAGCCCTTGTCTCCCAGCTCCAAAGGACAGAAAAGCCTTAACATTAGTATGCATTCTAAATCAATTTGCCACAGTTATTCTGGTTATCAGTCTCCATATGCCATGGTAGATAAGGTTCCATAGACTCTCAAATAAAACAGTTAGGAAGAAAAAAAAAAAAACCCTCCAAGATCTAATTTCCATTAATTTGCTAAATTGCTAGATAAGATATTGTGTGAAAAAATACTCACCACTCCCCACCTTTTTTCTTCCCTCCCTGCATTCTAAGACTGTGTTGGTAATTGATAATCACAACCACAGAGAGCACCATACTTGGTGTAATTACTGTAAATGTCAAGAGACTGAGGGAAGATAATTGATCCAGTGTAAAAATACATGTCACCCTGGTCAGGGACTCAGCATGTCAGCAGGAAAGGCCACATGCTGAGCTGGAGCCATATATTCTGGGAAATAAAAAATTAAGATTGTAGAGATGTTCCACCTGTACCTGGAGAGTCAACAGAACTGACCTATGGGTATCTTCTGGGCTCCTGTGGAGGTCCCTGGGGATCCAAAACAGATGTTGCTCTCTTTGAAAAGCTCATTTTTGGGAAGTTCTGAGTTGCTCTACTTTAAACTGAGGTTTACTAAGTTACCTCTCCAGAAATGCTACCTGTTAGAGACCCTTGTTTTCACTTTGACAAAGTATATTAAAAAAAAATCCTCAAATAGCACTTCAAGATTTCATAAAAACCAATCAATAACCAGTCAAGAAGAAGACAGCAAAATACATTGCCAGGATCTTTTGCTGCTGCTCCTCTGCTTGTGACCAGATACTGAAGCCTTCCTCTCCAAAATGAAACTGGAGTCCCTGGGGTAGAAGTGGACTCCAGGAAGCACAGGTAGTTTAAGCCTTTGTTTTGAAAAGAAACTTAATTTATACATGCAAGAGGGAGGCCCTTGGTGCTGCACAACCCGAGTCCAGTCCTATAGCAGTCTAACTGCAACATCTTATTCAATGTCAAATTTAATTAGAAATTGTTCATCAAGTGTGTTCCTCTGCTCAGGGCCTGTGTGTGGCCTCAGACCCACAAGGCTTAGGAGCTGCAGTGCTCTCTTCTCTATATTAAACCAATGTTTAGGAAGAGCAGAACTTTTTCTGGACATTTACAAATCCCACATATTTTCTCCCTAATTCTGGTTTCCTGTCTTAGTCCAAATGGGCAATAACAGCAGCTCTGCCCTTATTTGAGTACAAAATACACTGCCCTGAATCTTAGCTTTTTTCTTCCTTTTTTTTGTGCTTTTTTTTGGGGGTGGGGGTGGGGGACTTGAATTCTGGGTTTCTGCTCTCATTTGACTTTTTTTTTTGGAATGGTCATGGGGCCTGGGAGCTGTCCCTCAGCTCTTCAGCTCAAGGCTAGCGCTCTACCACTTGAGCCACAGCGCCACTTCTGGCTTTTTGCTTATGTGGTGCTGAGGAATCAAACCCAGGGCCTCATCCATGCAAGGCAAGTGCTCTACCACTGAGCCACCTTCCCGGCCCCTGACCTTTTCTGCTCAAGGCTGATGTTCTACCATTTGAACAATAGCTTCTCTTCTGGCTTTTGGCTAATGAGTTAGAGAGAGAGTTTCACAGATTTTTCGAAGCCTGGGCTGGCTTAGAAAGTGCATCCTTAGGGGTTGGGAAGGTGGCTCAGTGGTAGAGTGCTTGCCTTGCATGCATGAGGCCCTGGGTTTGATCCTCAGCACCACATAAGCAAAAAGAAAAAAGCCAGAAGTGGCGCTGCAGCTCAAGTGGTAGAGCGCTAGCCTGGAGCTGAAGAGCTGAGGGACAGCGCCCCAGGCCCAGAATTCAGGCCTCAAGACCGGACCCCCCCACCCAAAAAAAAGAAAAGTCCATCCTTAGATGTTTCCTGAGTAACTATGTTTATACCAGCACTCAGGCTCTGAATCCTAACTCTTCACTAAACTCATCATGCACTATGAAAGAGGCTTAGTTTTTTTTTTTTTTGTTGTTGGTTGTGGGTCTTGAACTCTGGGCTTGGGCACTGTCCCTCAGCTATTCAGTTCAAAGGTGAGCACTCTGCCATTTGATTTTTATTTATTTTTTTGGGGGGGGTCCAGTCGTGGCATTTGCACTCTGGGTCTGGGCGCTGTCCCTCAGCTCTTCAGCTCAAGGCTAGTGCTCTACCACTTGAGCCGCAGCGCCACTTCCAGCTTTTTTCTTTTTGCTTGTGTGGTACTGAGGAATCGAACCCAGGGCCTCATGCATGCAAGGCAAGCGCTCTACCACTGGGTCACTTTCCCAGCCCGTACTCTGCCATCTGAATCACAACACCACTTCTGTTTTTTTGGTGGTTAATTGGAGCTAAGAGTCTCATGGATGTTCCTGCTAAGGCCAGCTTTGACTGGTGATCCTCAGATTTCAGCCTCCTGAGTAGCTAGTGTTATATTATCCCCACCTTTGGTCCTCAGCTCCACCCAGACTTAAGGTCCTCCTTGCTCTAGAGTTCCCACCCTACAGCTGGCCACTCCCTCTCTACCCAGGTCCACCTGTTGTTCATGCATTTTACCTCACTTCCCAGAGACTGACCATGCCTTGGATGGGGACAGACACCATGTGCTCCCTCTCCAGGAGAGATATGGCCCCTCTAATAAACCTTACAATAATGTTTCTTCTGCGCCTGCTTGCCTCTGTGTTGTCCCCTGGGAGGGTCTTGAAGGATCCTTTCAGCTAGGATTACAGGTGTGAGCCACCGGTGCCTGACTCTAGGTTTTTGTTTTTGGTCATAGGATGATGTTTAGGTGTCAAGTGGTTTGGAGGGTGATCGATTAATAGAATAGGCTCTACAACGTCTCAGCAATCTCAGGGACCTCCATAGGGTGACCCTGACTACATCACCACTATGTTAAGAGAGGCTGGTGTTGGAACTTTGCAGTTCTTCCAGGCACTTACCTATAGCCATGTTGGTAAAGGGCCCATAGCAACAGATTTCTAGGCCTGTGAAAAGCTGCAAGAGAGAAAGAGAGAGAGAGAGAGCATAATGGGCGATGGAGAAAAACACAGTCACAACTGAGAATGGGCATTTACATGAAAATATGGAGACGCTGCAAGCAAGTAGCTCAGGTTTGTAATCCTAGCTGCTTAGGAGGCTAAGATCTGAGGAATGAGGTTTAAAGTCAGCCTGGACAGAAAAATTAGCACAACTTTCTAAGCCATCAGCAAAATGCTGCAACTGGAGAAAAGGCTTTAGAGGAAAGGCTCAAGTAGTTGAGTACCAGTTGTGAGCAAGTGCAACCACCAAGTGAGAGTGCAAGGCCCCAAGTTCAAGCCCAGGTACTAGCAAAAAAAGCAACAAAACACACTCCTGAAAAAGGAACAACTTTTCTTTACCAGCTGACAACTGCTACTTCCCAGAAACAATCAGTCCAATGTCCAGAACACTGACAGATTTAAGACTTCCTTCTGCTGTGCCTCTAGAGTGCTGACATTAGTTTTGTGCCATCACATTGGATGAGAAGGCTGTTTTTCTTGTGCTAGTACTGAGGTTTGAACTCAGAGCCTCAAACTTTCATTTGGCTTTTTTGCTTGCTCATAGCTGGTGCTCTACCATTTGAACTATACCTCCAGTTTCAGCTGTTTGCTGACTTACTGGAGATAAGAGTCTCATGTATGACCTTTGCAGGTAATTTTACTTCTTGTTAGAGAGGCCTTTCTTTATGTTTAATAAAAGGCTTAGATGGCAAGAAATTCAAAGCTAGTGGTTTGTTTATTCAGACCGGTACTTCAATACTATGATCCCAATAAGCATAGCAGTCTGTTTATTCTATGTGTACATGCTCTTTTTGTCTTTCTTTTACACTGCTCTGATAATAGCCACTGAACTTTTTTGTTTGTTTGTGGTACTAAGATTTGAGCTCAGGGCTTCATGCTCATTAGGTAGGTGCTTTCCTGTTGGATCCACATCTCCAACCCTTTTTGCTCTTGTTAATTAATTGTTGGTTTGGGGGCTTGTAACTCAGGGCCTCAAGTTTTCTTGGTTTGTTTGCTTGCTCAGCTGGTGTTGTAGTGGTCAAGTTATCAGGAAAACAGTCAATCAGGGTATTTTGATCTACAGCACTTGCATATGGCAGGATAAGCTGCTAAACCAAACAGGGGCTGGAGCCAACAGAAGAATGAGGAAGTAAGAAGAACAAGAGAATAAGGAAAGAAGGGCAGTGAATCTTTCCTATTACCTTTACTTATGTTGGCTTGCCTGAATTCACTTCTTGCCAGAAAGTGAGGACTTGAGGTCAATTTTGGTGCCCTGTACTTCCCATAGTAGTACTTTAGCTCTCTCTCTCTCTCTCTCTCTCTCTCTATATATATATATATATATATATATATTTTTTTTTTTTTTTTGCCAGTCCTGGGACTTGAACTTAGGGCCTGGGCACTGTCCCCAAGCTTCTTTTTGTTCAAGGCTAGTATTCTACCACTTGAGCCATAGCACCACTTCTGGCTTTTTTGTTTTTGTGGTACTGAGGAATGGTACCCAGGGCTTCATGCATGCTAGGCAAGCACTCTTCCACAAAGCCACATTCCCAGCCCATCTATACTTTAGGTTGGTTATTTTAGAGACAGTCTCATGAACTTTTCTGCCCAGGCTGGCTATGAACCTTGTTCCTCAGATCTCTGCCTCCTGAATAATAGGATTATAGACATGAGCCACTGTACCTGGTCACAGCCAGGCAGTTTTTAATCTATAATGTAGCCTGGTTCTGCCTCTCCTCACCCAACTGGTCTGACTGCCTGGTTTCCTGAAGACATAGATTACATTGTATCTCCTAGGGGAATTTCCATTTACAGTGCTCTTCAGCACTGCTCAAAGACTTTCTGTTACATTGGAACTGCTCTGTACCTGCCCTAGTAGGCTATCTAGGAGTCATACGTGATTACTGGGCACTTGAAATGTTGGGGTAAGGAACAGAACTTCGTATTTTATTTTATTTATTTATTTTTTTGGGTCTAGTCGTGGGGCCTGAACTCTGGGCGTGGGCGCTGTCCCTCAGCTCTTCAGTTCAAGGCTAGTGCTCTACCACTTGAGCCACAGCGCCACTTCTGGCTTTTTTCTTTTTGCTTATGTGGTGCTGAGGAATCGAACCCAGGGCCTCAGGCATGCAAGGCAAGCGGTCTACCAATGAGCCACCTTCCCAGCCTCTTTATTTTATTTTTTATTTTTTGGGTCCAGTCATGGGCCTGAACTCTGGGCCTTGGCGCAGTCCTTCAGCTATTCAGCTTAAGGCTAGTGCTCTACCACTTGAGCCACAGCGCCACTTCCGGCTTTTTTCCCCCTGGTTATGTGGTGCTGGGAATTGAACCCAGGGCCTCATGCACACAAGGCAAGTGCTCTACCACTGCGCCACCTTCCCAGCCTCTGAACTTCATATCTTAATTAAAATCTAAATAGTACCACATGGCTGGTGATAACTGAGTTGGACGACACAAATTTTCACATCCTGGTACAGGTTCTTAAGAAAGGACTCAGGTATCATGCAAAAGAAAGCTTAGCCAGGGGGCTGGGAAGATGGCTCAGTAGTAGAACGCTTGCCTTGCATGCCTGAGGCCCTGGGTTCGATTCCTCAGCACCCCATAAGCAAAAAGAAAAAAGCCGGAAGTGGTGCTGTGGCTCAAGTGGTAGAGCGCTAGCCTTGAGCTGTAGAGCTGAGGGACAGTGCCCAGGCCCAGAGTTCAGGCCCCACTGAAAAAAGAAAGAAAAAAGAAAGCTTAGCCAGGTGTCAGTGGCTCATGACTATGATTCTAGCTACTCAGGAGTCTGAGATCTGAGGATTGTGGTTTGAGGCTAGCCTGGGCAGGAAAGTTCGTGAGACTATTTCCAATCAATCATCAAAAAGCTAGAAATAGAGCTGTGGCTCAAGTGGTAGAGTGCTAGCCTTGAGCAAAAAAGCCAAAGGACAGCATCCAGGCTCTAAGTACCAGAACAAAAAATAAAAACAATAACAAAACCCTTAAATTTGTGCCACAGGGACAAACCCCCTGCTGGAGGTATGGCTCAGGTGGAAGAGCACCAGTCTGTGAGCAAAAGTGTCAGACCCTGAGTTCAAGTCCCAAACCCAGAAGGAGGGAGCTAACAGGAAAACGGGCTAGGCCTAGAGTTTACCTGGTGTCAAAGAAATTGAGATAGGAACATTAGGAAGCTGAAAACACACATGCGTCTTCTTTCCCCCAAAGAAGAAAAAGGACAGTAGAATAAGTCCCCCCCACTCCCTCTTTTTGGGCTAGTCCTGGGGCTTTAAACTCAAGGAATGGGCACTATTCCTGAGTGTTTTTGCTCAAGGCTAATGCTTTACCACTTTGAGCCACAGTGCCATTTCCGGCTTTTTTGGCAGTTAATTGGAGATAAGAGTCTCACAAACTTTCCTGCCCAGCTGGCTTTGAACTGTGATCCTCAGATCTCAACCTCCTGAGTAGCTGGGATTACAGGAGTGAGTCACTGATTCCTGGCAAGTCTTTGTCTTTTAAGTGACAGTTTCTACCTGTGCTGTTCTCCCTATCTTTATGAACAAAATGCATCTCCAACTTATTGACAGGCCTAGACACATATAAAGCAAAGTTCTCCCCAGGCAGCCAGTAGAAGCCAAATGCTGCCACATGTAAAGTACAAAAGATCAGGAATTTGTATTTTCAGGCTGACACTCACTGATGGGAATGTCTAGTTAAGAGATAAGAAATATGAAGCTTCACCTGTATAAATACATTGCTCTTTTACATGAAAATACTATGGTGACATTTAGTATCTTCAGAATGTCATTTCTTTGACTAGGCACTTTCTATCATTGCTACACTGAATGCAAGATTTCCTCCAAGGAAGGAGGGATGTGGCACTGATTCTGTCTGGCATCCAGCGGGGTAAAAACAAATGGCCGGCTCCCCCTGGGTGAAGGCAGGAGCTGAAATAGGACAAACAGCTTTTCTTAGCATGTGGGACAGTTACTCCATAGGCTCAGAGGGTGAGGACAGACAGACCCCAAGGGTTCCAAATTCAGCCTCCAATAGCAGCTTTCCAGAGAAAACCACCTGTACTGTGGCAAGTTGCCATAGGGGAACAGAAAGTGCTTCTTAATGGGCCTGGGAAGGTGGTCAATGGTAGAGTGCTTGCCTTGCATGCATGAGGCCTTGGGTTCGATTCCTCAGAACCACATAAGCAGAAGTGGCGCTGTAGCTCAAATGGTAGAGCGCTAGCCTTGAGCTGAAGAGCTGAGGGACAGTGCCCAGGCCCAGAGTTTAGGTCCCATGACCGACAAAAAAAAAAAAAAAGTGCTTCTTAATATTCCGAAATGCCTAGTAGTGTGCATTTGAAGGAGGAAGAAAAGCAGATGGGGAACACAAGCACTTAACCAGCAACCTGAGAAAGCAGCTAAGCCCAGGCCCGACTGGCAGGGATGAGATCTTGCACAGCCACCTCCCTGGGACAACATAGTTCTAGCTCCATCATCTGCTACAATATGATTTGGCCAAAGTTACTTCGGCCATCCTAGCAAGTCATTACTTGCTCTGTTTAAATCCTAGCTCTGCCCCTTATCAGAGATTTGAACCCTTGACTAGATCCAAATTACACAACCACTCTACATTCTCTTACTGGGAAAGCACAAATAATACTTATTTGCCTTGTTGTCTGGGAGGCCTAAAGCAGCCCCTATGAAAGTGCCAGGCCAGTGCTCCAGCAGCATGCATTTACCAGATGAGGATCATCTCCAAGGCAGCTGCAGGCAGAGCCAGAGGCAGGGGTTGGGGGAGTGGGAGGGGCTCTGTCAATCTTGGGAAGGCACTCAAGGGCTTTACCTTCTCCTGTGATTCCCTCGCTCTCTTTGGTCCTTGGTGGTTTCTTCCATTGATCACATCACCTCTGACTTCAAAATCATGCTGAAAGAAACCAAATGCAAACCACTGGATTAGAGAAAGAGAAGCTCTCCTTCTGTGGAAGCAAAGTAGACACTTGTATTTCAGACATTCAGAATCACCAGGTTTGATTAAAAAAAAAAAAAAGCGAGCTGGGAAGATGGCTCAGTGGTAGAGCTCTTGCCTTGCATGCTCGAGGCCCTGGGTTTGATTCCTCAGCACCACATAAGCAAAAAGAAAAAAGCCGGAAGTGGCGCTGTGGCTCAAGTGGTAGAGCTCTAGCCTTGAGCTGAAGAGCTGAGGGACAGCGCTCAGGCCAGAGTTCAGGCCCCACGACCGGACCCCCCCCTAAAAAAAAAAAAAAAAAAACAATGGATAAAATGACTATTTTGGGGGTACAAGGATCATAGCTGCTGAAATCAATTCATTGCTTTAAGTCTTGGTATGTAAAAATTAGAAAGTAGCTTTTCACCTCACGGGGACTTAATGTACTTTAATTTTCAACATCTCTCTCCCCTCAAAAGATTCACTTAGCATTTAAACTGCTAATACTGTCCTGTTTCAAAGATAACTGGACAATTTCCGATCCTTTAAATCTCAAATCAACTGTACATTACCATCTAAACAAATATGGACTTTTCAGTTTTCCACTGAGAGATTTGTATAGTTAATGAGGCCAAAATATAACAGTCAGTGGCTCATGCCTGTAATCCTAGCTCCTTAGGAGGGTGGGATTTGAGGATCCTAGTTAAAGCCAGCTCAGGCAGCAAAGTTTAAGACTCTTTATCTCCAATCCACTAACAAAGAGTTAGAAGTGCAGCTGTGGCTCCAGTCTTGAGCAAAAAGAGGTCAAGGACAGTGCCCAGGTCCTGAGTCCAAGCCCAAGAACTAGCACCAAAAGAAAAAAAAAAAAAAGAGTACTATGAAGGAAAATAAAGGAAAGAGTATAACCAGAGGCTATTCCTAAGGGAAAGAACACATGGCATTTCCTAGTCATGTGAATGAGAAGCCAGGTGATGAATTTTTGTCATTTGAAGATGACTTTCATATTTAGACTTTATTGCACCTCAGCTTCTTATGTGTTCCACTGACTACTTAAGTCTCTCATCTCTCTTTTCAGATAGCTTACATACATCTCAAAATTGATTTATCTACTTGTTTTTTTTGGTGGGGGGAACAAACTGGAGTTTGAACTCAGGGTCTAGGTGCTGTCCCTGAGCTGCTTCTGCTTAAGGCTAGTACTCTAGCTCTTGAGCCACAGCTCCATTTCCAGCTTTTTTTGGTAGCTTATTGGAGATAAGAGTCTCCTGAAGGCTGGTGCTGGTGGCTCCCACCTGTAATCCTAGCTATTCAGGAGGCTGAGATCTGAAGTGGCGATGTGGCTTAAGTGGTAGGGCGCTTGCCTTGAGCTGAAGAGCTTAGAGACAGTGCCCAGGCCCAGAGTTCAAGCCCCACGACTGACTCTCACACACACACACACACACACACACACACACACACACACACACACACACACACACACACACGTCTCACAAACTTTTGGCTTGAGTAGCTAGGATTATAGGTGTGAGCTACCAGTGCTGGCAGGGCTTTGCACTCTTGCTTTGCTTTTTCTACTCAAGGCTGGCATGTGAGCCATTGCTCCACTTCTGGCTTTTTGCTAGTTAATTTGACATAGAGTCTCGGGCTGGGAAGGTGGCTCAGTGGTAGAGCGCTTGCCTTGCATGCATGAGGCCCTGGGTTCGATTCCTCAGCACCACATAAGCAAAAAGAAAAGAGCCAGAAGTGGTGCTGTGGCTCAAGTGGTAGAGTGCTAGCCTTGAGCTGAAGAGCTGAGGGACAGCGCCCAGGCCCAGAGTTCAGGCCCCACAACCGGACCCAAAAAAAAAAAAAACAAACAGACATAGAGTCTCATGAGTTTTCCTGATTGGGCTGGCTTTGAACCTCAATCATTAGATCTCAGCCTCTTGAGTAGCTAGGATTACAAGTGTGAGCCTGGCTTCTCATCTAATTAGTTTTTTTTTTTTTTCTTTTTTTTTTTTGTGGTCTTGAAGGCTGAATTCAGGGTTCTATATGTGTGAGGCAAACTGCTGTTGAGTTACATTCCCAGACTCCTCATGTAGCCAGTCTGTTTCTTAGGCCCCAATCCAAGAACTCCTGATTTCCTTCTTTATTCTCCAAGTTTAATTCACTATCAAGTGCTATCTCCATAAAGATGCCAAACCCACATTTGTTTTTAAAGCCATCTGCCTGTTTTCCAATTATGCTAAGAATAAAATTTGAATTCCTTGCTATGGATTAGCCTCAACTCTTATCTGATCTAGACCTTTTCTGTGACCTCTTAATTGTCCAATTGTCCTTCCCTTCAGTTTTCAAGGGCAATTATTTATCACTTAGTTCTCAGCTCAACCTTGTTTTTTGTTTTTGTTTTTGTCAGTTGTGGGGCTTGAACTCTGGGCCAGGGCGTGGTCCCTCAGCACTTCAGCTCAAGGCTAGCACTCTACCGCTTAAGCCACAGCGCCACTCTTAGCTCAACCTTTTCTAATAGGCATCCTTAACTGAAGCAGTCAACCTTTATCCCTGACAATTGCCAGTCTGTTTTATTCCTCCTCCCCATTCAAGACAGAATCTTAAAAAAAAAAAAAAAAAATCCTGAGTACTGGGCTTACAGGTCTGTACCATCACACCTGGCTAATCTGTCCTTCTTAGTCTTTTGTTTGGTTTTTGGCCGGTCCTAGGGCTTGAACTCTGGGCCTGGGTACTGTCCCTAGCCTCATTTTGCTCAAGGCTAGCACTCTACCATTTGAACCACAGCACTACTTCCAGTTTTCTCTGTGATTAATTGGAGATAAGAGTCTAATGGACTTTGCTGCTGGGCTGGCTTCAAACTTCAACCCTCAGATCTCAGCCTCCTGAGTAGCTAGGATTAGAGGTGTGAGCCATCAGCACCCGGCTTTTCTTACCCTTTTACTGGTACCTTAAATTCATCTCTATTTATTGCATATTTTCCTCCATTAAGATGAATTATTCCAGAGAGGGATTTAGCCAGTCTTTGTTTTGTTTTCTTCTTGGTGATGGGGCTTGAACTCAGAGTCAGGGCACTGTGTCTAGGCTTTTGTGCTCAAAGATAGTGCTCTACCACTTTGGGGTACAGCTCCACTTCTGGTTTTCTGGTGGTTAATTGGATGTAAGAGTCTCATGAACTTTCCCGCCTGGGCTTTGAACCACCATGATCCTCAGATCTCAGCTTCTAGAGTAGCTAGGACTACAGGCATGAGCCACCAGTACCTAGCTTAGTCTTATTTACTGTAAAATTCTAAATATGTGACACATAGTAGGCTCCTGATAGTCACTGAATAAAGATAAAAAAATGTTATTTAATTAGTTATGAACATATTGAGTAGTGCATAATAGTTTAAAGCAGCTTCCACTAATTTTATTGTGCCTGATCTACTGTCACCAGCAGTTCTTGTCTGTTCTAAAATTATTCTTCCACCTACACTCTACCTTATTTACCTCTCACTGTTCTCAGTATCATAGGAGCAACATCTCTTTGAAAATCTGATTTCTAAGCAGCACATTTGCATATTAATTTAAGTATTTTTTCTTTAACATTTAACAGCCAATTTTCTGCAGGGCTTCATGCATGCTAGGCAAGCACTCTACCACTAAGCCATATTCCTAGCCCCAAACTCCAAATATTGTCTTTTTAATTTAATGCTTTTTTTATTTTTATTTTTTTTTTTGGTTTGGTTTTTGTTTTTTTTTGGGTTTTATTTTTTTTTTTTTGGTTCCAGTCCTGGGGCTTGAACTCAGGGCCTAAATGCCGTCCCTGAGTTTTCTTGCTCAAGGCGCTACCACTTGAGTCACAGTACTACTTGCCAGCTTTTTTAGAGTTTAATTGGAGAGAAGAGTCTCACAGATGCTTCTGCCAGGGCTAGCTTTGAACTTAAAGCCTCAGATCTATACTCATGCAAGATTCAGAGGGTCCTATTTCTTGTCCCTATTAATCTTTATTTTATAAATTCCTTTCCCGTCCCCTCTAAAACTATTTCTTTTGAAATATAAAACAAATGAATGAAAAAACAAAAATTACTGGTCAAAGTCAGGCATGGTGGTACACACCTGCAATCCCAGCACTCAGGAGGCTGAGGGAGGAGAAAGCAGATACACACTTGTGTGACTTAATGGCTTCAAGCATATCTGAATAATTTGTAAGATCAGGTACCTACCTCATCCAGCACTTTTCCTTCTTTAATAGACTGGGTCACCCCTAAAGAGATCATGAAAAAGACAGATCACATAGAAGCAGAAGAACATACCCCCTTCATGAATGTTTTCTCTCTCTGAAGCCACCCCACTTTTTAATTGGTTGTGGGGCTTGAACTCAGGGCCTGGGTGCTGTCCCTGAGCCTCTTTGTGCTCAAAGCTAGTACTTTACCACTTGAGCCACAGAGCCACTTCTGGTTGAGTAGTCAGTTAGAGATAAGAATCTCATGGTGGGGCTGGGAAGGTGGCTCAGTGGTAGAGTGCTTGCCTTGCATGCATGAGGCCCTGGGTTCAATTCCTTATAAGCAGATTAAAAAAAAAAAAAGCCAGAAGTGGCGCTGTGGCTCAAGTGGTAGAGTGCTAGCCTTGAGCTGAAGAGCTGAGGGACAGTGCCCAGGCCCAGAGATCAGGCCTCACAACTGGACCAAAAAAAAAAAAAAAAAAAAAGAATCTCATGGGGCCTGTTTGGCTCTGGCTGGCTTTGAACCAGATCCTCAGATCTCAGCCTCCTGAGTAGATAGAATTACAGGTGTGAGCCACAGGCTCCAGTCAAGCCACCACTCTTTATTAAGATTTGTGGAAGAAATTTCCTCCTGGAGACCCAGTTAATGCTTAACTTAAACTAATAAAAGTGGCTAGCTAATGCACATAGATTTCTGCCTATTAAATAAATTCCAAGTTCATATGCTAACATTTCTAGGAGCAGATTAAGTCCTATTAGTTATAAAAGAAATCCATTTTCCCAGCATCACCAGCTTATGTGAACAAAGCCATATGCATTAAAGACAGAGCTAGTTTTGTGTTACCATTAAAGACCTTTTGGTAATTCAGGCTCAGCATCAGCAAAAACCTTAGGTGTTAAAATGTTAGGTGCAAAAATGCAATTCTGAGGTGTTAAATGGAGGAGGGGAGAAGCTGTATTATACTTACAGAAATAGCTAACTACCCATTTTCTTCCTGCAATTCCCAGAAAATATTTCAGTGTCCGTTCACAAACCAACTCAGCATCTGTGGAAAGAAAAACATCTTTAGCATATTAGAAGAAGAAAATACCATCAGGAAGTGCTGCCCTCAGAAGCTTACGGACCCCAAATCCTGCTCTCAAGATCAATCTGGATCGACAATTTCTGACACCCCTACAGATAAAATCTGAAGCTGGAAGTACCATGAATTATAAGCAGCAGGCTTGGAGCTTTGGAGGCCTGGAAGAGGCAAAGACCAGAGGAAATGACTGTTCCATCTTACCGATGCTATGGCAGCTAAAGAGCTCCAACCCTGTGTTCAACGAAGTGTTCACATCAGTGATTCACCGGATAAAAAAAGGCTCATTTTATGAGATGGTGATATGTAAAAGGAGAAGAAAAGTCTGGAGGTGTAGCTCTAGTGGTAGACTGCTAGTCTAGCAAACACAAAAGTGCAGTGCCAGGTATCAAGTTCAAACCCCAAACACAACCAGTGTTGAAGTCTTAAATATGATAAAATTTTACCTCCCAAACCCAAAACATCTACCTGGGGAATTACTGGGAATTACCTGGGGAATCCTAACTTCCCAGTAATTCCCCAGAGGGACAGGCTAATATGGTTTTTTTTTTGCCAGTCCTGGGGCTTGAACTCAGGGGGTAGGCACTGTCCCTGAGCTTCTTTTGCTAAAGGCTAGCACTCTACCACTTTAGCCACCATGCCACTTCTGACTTTATGTTTATGTGGTACTGAGAAATTGAACCCAGGGCTTCATGCATGCTAGGCAAGCACTCTACCACTAAGCCATATTCCTAGCCCCAAACTCCAAATATGGTCTTTTTAATTTAATGCTTTTTTTTGTTGTTGTTTTTGGTTCCAGTCCTGGGGCTTGTACTCAGGGCCTAAGTGCTGTCCCTGAACTTTCTTGCTCAAGTCTCTACCACTTGAGTCACAGTACTACTTGCCAGCTTTTTTAGTGTTTAATTGGAGAGAAGAGTCTCACAGATGCTCCTGCCAGGGCTAGCTTTGAACTTAAAGCCTCGTATCTCAGCCTCTTGAGAAGTTAGATTTATAGGCAGGAGTTACTGGTGCTTGGAAAAATATGGTCTTTTTAGATGCATTCTCTTTTCTACATAAGTATTTTAGAAAGCAGGAGGTGAAGAATCACTTCTGTTTATTTCCTAGTGTTTCAAAGACTGTTTGAAGAAATAAGCAAACTTAGAAAAGACCATTTAATTTTAAAGAGGAGAAATGTATTTAAATCCTAACACAGCAGGCCATCTGCATGGAATAGAAGCAGCCTTTCTCCCTCACAGAATTCCTCATAATTTTTTGAAGCTTTTTGTTTAATTGCTATAAAAGCTGGTTTTACTTGGAAAGTAAGGAATGGTGTATTGCCTTTGAATTTAAAGACTGAACTACTTTGGATTTAATTTGGACTTTTAAAGCTTTCTTTTCACCTTTCATCAGCTTTGATCCAAACTTACAGCTTAAAAGATATTAAAGTCAATGACATTTGTCTCTAAAGTTTTAATTCATTTGTACTTTCTTGTTCTAGCACCTGATTCCAATGAGCTAAATTACCCTTTGAGCCTGTGATAAATTTTTTGGTGTGTGAGCCAGAACTGGGGTTTGAACCAAGGGCCTGGATGCTCTCCTTTAGTTTTTTTACTTAAGGCTGGTGCTCTAATATTTGAGCACAGTTCCACCATCACCTTTTCTCTGGTTCATTTGAAATAAGAGTCTTAGACTTTCCTGCCTGCCTGGGTTGGCTTCACATTGGGATTCTCAAATCTCAGCCTCCTGAGTAGGCAGGATTATAGATAAGAGCTACTGGCAACCCAGCTTCTTGCTTGACTTCTTCACTCCTGGCTGGTACTCTACCACTTCAGTCATTCCTCTATTTGTTTTTTGTTTTTTACTGACTAACAAAATAGAAGAGTCTCTTGGAAAGACCTGCACTAGTGGCGCATACATGTAATACTAACCACTCAGAAGGTTGAGATTTGAGGATCATGATTAAAAGTTAGCCAAGTCATGGGCTGGGATGTAGCTCAGTGGCAAAGCGCTTGCCTAGCAAATGCAACGTCCTGGGTTCGATCCCCAGTACCAAAAGAGACAAGACAAAAAAAAAAAAGTTAGCCAAGTCATCAAAGTCTATGAGACCACCAAAAAGTCAAAGTAGAGGTGTGGCTCAACCGACAGAGGCTTGAGCTGAAAAAGTCAGGTGAGGGCTCAAGGCCCCGAGTTCAAGCCCCAGTACCAGCATACATACAAAAAAGTATCTATTGAATTTGTCTTCTCTAAACCCTTGACTTAAAACACAGGGCGTTGAACTCTTGCTAATCTTTTTTTTTTTCCTTGCTAGTCTTTTGCTCATAGCTGGTGCTCATTTGAGCTATGCTTCTAGTCCCACTTTTTTTTTCTGGTCAACTGAATATGGAATCTCAAACTATCCTGCTCAGCTTGGCTTTGAACCTTGATCCTCAGATTTCAGCAACCTGAATATTACAGGTATGAGCCACTGTTGTCTAGCTTACTCTTCAAATCTTAATTAAAAAGCACAAGGGTAAGCTGGGCATTGATGGCTCATACCTATAATCCTAGCTACTCAGGAGACTGAGATCTGAGGACACAGTTCAAAGTCAGCCCAGGCAGGAAAGTCTGTGAGACTCTTTTTTTTTGGGTCTGGTCATGGGGCCTGAACTCTGGGCCTGGGCGCTGTCCCTCAGCTCTTCAGCTCAAGGCTAGCGCTCTACCACTTGAGCCACAGCACCACTTCCGGCGTTTTTTCTTTTTGCTTATGTGGTGCTGAGGAATCAAACCCAGGGCCTGAGGCATGCAAGGCAAGCGCTCTACCACTGAGCCACCTTCCCAGCCCCATCTGTGAGACTCATCTCCAATTAACCACCAGGAAACTGGAAGTGGTGCTGTGGCTCCAGTGGCAGAGTGCTCATAGAGAGCTCTTCAATTCAAGGACAGCACCCAGGCCCAGAGTTCAAGCCCACAACCAAAAAAAAAAAGCACAAGGGTATCAGGGCTGGGAATGTGGCTTAGTAGAAAAATGCTTGCTTAGCATGCATGAAGCCCTGGGTTCAATTCCTCAGTACCACATAAACAGAAAGAGCTGGTATTGGCCCTGTGGCACAAGTGGTAGAGCGCGAGCCTTGAGCACAGAGAGGCTCAGAGACAGAGCTCAGGACCTGAGTGTAAGCCCCAGGACTCCTGGAAAGAAAAAAAAGTAGGAAAACTTCCATAAAGTAATAGTCGACTGACTACTGGAGGATCATCTGTGCTATGCATGATACAGACTGAATATGCCTTATCTGAAATTCTTGGAAATAAGTGTCTTAGAAATAGTTCAGTTTAGGGACTGGGAAGGTGGCTCGGTGGTAGAGTGCTTGCCTTGCATGCATGAGGCCCTGGGTTCGATTCCTCAGCACCACATAAGCAGAAAAAAAAAAGCTGGAAGTGGTGCTAGCTCAAGTAGTAGAGTGTTAGCCTTGAGCTGAAGGGCTGAGGGACAGTGCTCAGGCCCAGAGTTCAGACCCCACAACTGGACCCCCCCCCACAAAAAAAAAAAAGAAAAAAAAAAAAAAAAAAAGAAATAGTTCAGTTTAAGCCGGGTACCGGTGGCTCATGCCTGTAATCCTAGCTACTCAGGAGGCTGAGATCTGAGGATCATGGTTCAAAGCCAGCCCAGGCAAAAAAGTCCGTGAAACTTGGTGGTGCTATAGCTCAAGTGGTAGAGCGCTAGACTTGAGCTGAAGAGCTAAGGGACAGCACTCAGGCCCAGAATTCAAGCCCCATCACCAAACAAAAAACAAAACAAACAAACAAACAAACAAAAGAAATAGTTCAGTTTTGGGGCTGGGAATGGGCTTAGTGGTAGAGTGCTTGCCTAGCATGCATGAAACCCAGGGTTCAATTCCTCAATATCATATAAACAGAAAAAGCCGAAGTGGTGCTGTGACTTAAGTGATAGAGTGCTAGCCTTGAACATGAGAGGCTCAGGGACAGTCAGTGCCCAGGCCCTGAGTTCAAGCCCTAGGACTGGCCAAAAAAAAAAAAAAAAAAGAAAAAAGAAACATTTCAATTTTGGAATATTTGCATATACACAAATTCTTGGAGCTAAGACTCATGTCTAACATAAAATTTATTTATGTTCTATATATGTGTTATGTAATATAACCTAAAAAGGGGCTGGTAAGGTGGCTCAGTGGTAGAGTGCTTGCCTTGCATGCATGAGGCTTGGGCTTGATTCCTCAGTACCACATAAGCAGAAAAAGTCAGAAGTGGTGCTGTGGCTCAAATGGTAGACCGATAGCCTTGAGCTATAGTTGAGGTACAGCACCCAGGCCCAGAGTTCAGGCCCCATGAAATGCCTGAAAAGCATTTTTCATTTCTTATGTTGCTAGGGTCTTTTGCATGCTAGCTAAGCACTCTACCACTGAATGTCACCTCTAGTGCTTGCAAGTATATTATGTAATATATTTAGCATACCTGCATTTTGTGTATAAACTGTTACATGACATCAGGTGTGGAACTTCCTACTTGTGAGGTCATGTCTACAATGAAAAAGTCGTAGATTTTGGATTTTCAGATTAGGGATGCTCAGCGTGATTCTTACTTTTTCATGTGGTTTATGCATCAGATGCAACATATTCTATAAGGTTTTTGACATACCTGTTTTCATAACGACATGCGTAGTCTCTTCAGTAACTGCATTAGTTAAAGTGATGTGGTGTTTTCTGGCAAACTTCTGTGCAAGTACCTGAAATGAAATAAAATATTACAGGGGCTGGGAAGGTGGCTCAGTGGTAGAGTGCTTGCCTTGCATGCATGAGACTCTGGGTTTGATTCCTCAGCACCACATAAACAGAAAAAGCTAGAAGTGGTGCTGTGGCTCAAGTGGTAGAGCGCTAGCCTTGAGCTGAAGAGCTGAGGGACAGCACCCAAGCCCAGAGTTCAGGCCCCATGACTGGCAAAAAACAAAACAAAACAAAAAACAAATAAAATATTACAGTATGATAAACTGCCTTAAGTATGTGGCTTACAGTATTAGTCCAGCTTTGTGTCTCTATTTTCCTCAGAAAGTGTACATCTTTTTAAGAACAGGCTTGAAGTCTCAAAATGAATTACTTAATAAAGATTATGTATAAGCCACAAGGAGACATTCTAATATAATCTAATATAGTGCTATCAGTCATGGAATTACAACCAAAGATTCAAAATAATATTAATTTGTCTTTAATAACAGACATTATTTGATGCCCTAATAAATGTTTTTTGTGTAGTGATACTCTATTGTCCTATCATTCAGTTTTATCAGCCTACACTGTATAAAGTGAAGGTAACACTCTAGATTTATGTGGCTTAAAATTCAGCTCTCTGATAGTTATAAAATATACAGGTGATGAAGATTCTAAAGAGCAGGGCAAAAAATACAAATTGTAGGAGAAGAACTGAAAGAGCCATATACATATTATTTTATAATAATTATATATATAGTCGTTTGTGGGGCTTGAATTCAGGGTCTGGGCACTATCCTTGAGCTCTTTTTGTCAAAGGCTAGTGCTCTACCACTTTGAGCCACAGCACCACTTCCAGTTTTCCAGTAGTTAACTAGAGATAAGAGTCTCAAGCAGGGGCTGGGAAGGTGGCTCAGTGGTAGAGCGCTTGCCTTGCATGCATGAAATCCTGGGTTTGATTCCTCAGTATCACATAAAAAGAAAAAGCCAGAAGTGGTGCTGTAGCTCAAGTGGTAGAGTGCTAGCCTTGATCAAAAGCTCAGGGAGAGTATCCAGGCCCTGAGTTCAAGCCCCAGAACTGGAAAAAGAAAGAGAGAGAGAGAGAGAGAGAGAGAGAGAGGAGTCTCAAGCACTCTCCCGCTCAGGCTGGCTTCAAACTGCAATCCTCAGATCTCAGCCTCCTAAGTAGTTAGGATGATAGGCATGAGCCATCAGTGCCTGGTGGAAGAGCCTCATATTCTTCCCAAAAGAAAACTAAAGTCAGGGCTGGGAATGTGGCTTAGTGGTAGAATGCTTGCCTAGCACGCATGAAGCCCTGGGTTTGAATCCTTAGCACCAAATAAAAAAAGCTGGAAGTGATGCGGTGGCTCAAGTAGTAGAATAGTAGGTTTGAGCAAAAGAAGCCCAGGGACAGTACCCAAACAGGCAGTAAACAAAATGAATTAGAGCCATTATGAGCATAGTTGACATAACTGGTAGCGATTGCTTGGAAAACAGTCTTGTTTGCTAAGCGCCATCGTTTATGAACCATCGCCATCCAGACTACCACTGACGTGCTGTACAGGTCAAAGCCTCTTCCTTTCCTGTTGTCTCACTCTGTACTGCCATGGGGCACAGAAAGAAGCTAACGACATTTTCCCTTTTCGCCACTGCCCTCTGCCAGGATCATTAGCAATTCTGAACTGATTAATTGCTGAAATCTCAGCCTTGAAACAGCGTTCGTTCAGTCGGAAGAGCAACTGCTGAAAAGATCATCTTAATATAGGCCTCAGAATGAATCATGTATAATAAAGTCAGCAGCTTTCATCATAAATTTACCACACTATAGCAAGCCTGAATAGAACTCAAAGTTTCCCTCTTTTACTTGTTTAAAGACAACATGTGCCTACAACATTTATAGTGTAACCTGTAGCTCAGAACCACCCAAGGCAAGAGATGAGATCATTTTAGCCATGTCTGAAAAGCTGAACTCATAAAAGAATGCTAATTTTCAGTGAATGAATGGATATTCTAGATGTGTAGGTAAAAAAGCCATTTAAATAGACACAGGTATAAGAATTTTCAGAGCAAATGCTGCCTTGGGGATGGACAGTGAGATGACAACATTCACAACCATCATCTTACAATTTTCATTTATTGCCTGTATTCATTTGCTTTGCTCAGTCCAAAGCAGGACATATCTGGCAGCAAGGACCGTTATGCTGAGTCACTACCTATGAAGTTAGGCTGAAAAATGGTTCATGTCCTACCTGATTAGCCAAGATTATAGGTGTGAAGCCTCTGGTGCCTGGCTACTATATCTTAAAGAAATATTACTCACTCAATTGTTTTCCAGATACTAATAACAAGAAATTACAAGAAAAGTAAATTTTCCAGGATGTCTAAAATCCACAAACAGCCTAAGAAGAGACAAGAGTTTAGTGGTCTTAATATTTTAATGAGTCTTAATTTTTTATTTTTGGTGGTCATGGGGTTTGAACTCTAGGCCTGGGTGCTGTCCCTGAGCTCTTCAGCTCAAGGCTAGCACTCTACCACTTGAGCCACAATGCCACTTCTGGCCTTTTCTGTTTAGGAAGTGCTGAGGAATCGAACCCAGGGCCTCATGCATGTGAGACAAGCACTCTACCACTGAGCCACCTTCCCAGCCCCATGAGTCTTAAAATTTTAATGGTTATTTTTCTATAATGTGAAATAATTCCCATTTCTGGCATAAGGGGCATAAGGAGATGCCAAAATCTAAATAGCAAAGGGTATTGTAGGGCAGCAATGACAGGGCAGGCTATTAAAGAGCTGTCTTCCCTGCAAGGATGAAGACAAACACTGGAAAAATGCCACTGTCTGGCAGCGTGCTTGGAACTAGTTTGGTAAGCTGACTCAGATACAAAATAAGGGAAAGAGAAAGCTACACCTACTTGCTTTTTTAAAAAAAAAAAAGAAGACAAAACAAAACAATACCGTTTTTATTTTTTTGAAACTCTGGTGAAATAGGTTTCCATATGAGGCTTGAACTCTGTGCCTAAGCACTATCCCTGAGCTTCTTTTGCTCAAAGCTAGTGCTCTACCACTTGAGACAGCCCTACTTGCTTTTTTAGATAAAAAAGAAAATTCTGATGCTAACTGAAAAGCTTTAGATCATATTCCCAAGTAAACCTTTTTTTGTTACTATTTACTAATTGTTTTCATAATTAAATATATTTTAGGAATTTATATATATATTTATATATATTTTATTTTTTTGTCAGTTGAGGGGCTTGAACCCTGGGCCTGGGTGCTGTCCCTCAGCTCTTTAGCTCAAGGCTATCACTCTACCACTTGAGCCACAGCGCCACTTCCGGCTTTCCAGCCGTTTACTGGAGATGAGCCTCACAGACTTTCCTGCCTGGGCTGATTTTGAACCTCGATCCTCAGATCTCAGCCTTCTGAGTAGCTAGGTGGCATGAGCCACCAGCACCAGGCAAGAATTTGTATTTTTGCTTTACCTAGATGCAATTTTTCAGAAATGAGGGATGGAAATTAAATTACAAAGACTTCTTCTGATTTCCTTGATTTCTTCCCACAGGTTATTTGTTGCTGGACTCTGCATAAAACAGTTTGTGGTATGTTGTCCTGTCACAGTGACTACAGAAATATACCTAGATATACTTACAAATTCTTTTTGGATCAAGCCTGATACCACCATAGACATTCTTTTGTTGACCTTTGCTGTTGAAGTTTTCAATTCTGGTTTGTCTCTCTTCTCTCTCTCTTCCCTTGCTTTGTCCCCATGAGCAGCGGCTGGACTGCTGGCAGACTGGGCAACTTGAAATTGGGATGATAAACTGCAGACATGAGCTGGCTCTAGAGTGCTGTCTTTAGGGGGTTCAGATTTAGGCTCATTGTAGAAGAGGCAGTTTCCAGACTGCAGATCAGGGGTTCTCTCTGAAAAGGATAAATGTTTAATTTAATTTATATAACAATGAATTTGAATTAGGAGGTTCCAGTCTCTGATAAGAATGAAATAGACCTGATGAGGTTAAGAGGGTCCACTGCTGTGGAAGTACAGTGGCTTAACTTTTCTGAAGGCCAATACATGTGTTGACACTTTTACTTAGCAGTTTTAATTTTAGAAATGAATCCTGAGGGGGCTGGGAAAGTGGCTCAGTGGTAGAGTGCTTGCCTTGTATGCATGAGACCCTGGGTTCGATTCCTCAGCACCACATAAGCCGAAAAAGCTGCAAGTGGCGCTGTGGCTCATATGGTAGAGTGCTAGCCTTGAGCTGAAGAGCCCAGGCCCAGAGTTCAGGCCCCATGACTGACAAAAAAGAAGAAAAAGAAATAAAGAAATGCATCCTGAGGAAATAGAAGGTGTATGCAAAGGTAGTCATTGGATATTTCCTTCCTACTATTTATAACACAATTTTAGAAATGATCTAAATATCCAACATGACATTAAATGATACATTTAATTGAGTAGTTTTTCACTCCTTACAGTGAGCAGTAAAATAAATATTTTAAGATGACAGCTAAGAAATATTTAACATGGACTAAAGCAATCCTATTGCTTCTGCTTCCCGAGTAGCTGGGACTATAGATGTGTACCACTATGCCCAGATTGATTCTGTATTCTAAAAATAAGCAAAATGACTGAAGAAATAGCAATATCTTATTGTTAACTGGCAGGAACATAGGCAATTTTAAAGATTCTTATTTTGTATTTTCTATATTATACGATTCTTTTTGGCAATAGTCATATAGAACTTTCATAAGGAATGGAAAAAAGGCTGAAAACTATGACAGATACTTTTATTTTTCTATGACACCTTTGAAACAGCTCAGAAAATGTCATTCTATCAAGGGTGGAGCTGAGTAAAAGGAAAAAGATTCCTAAAATGAACTAATGAACATGACCAAATACCACATTTGATGCCAAATAGAGCCTTTTATGATAATGTATATTGAGTATTAATTAATTTTTTTTTACTGATTAAAACTTTGATTTACATGCCATAAAATATATTAATCATTACAAGTGATTTACAAGGCATAAAACAGTCATTTATATTCATTAATTCATAGAAAAAAAGAGCTTGCTTTGGTATTTGACTCATTATTCAATAAAGGACAGACCTAAAACTATTCTAGGGCCTTAGAATGCTTATCTAACAGTTGAAGTAAAATATTTATTTTATTTTTCTGAGGTACTGAGGATTGAATTCAGGGTCTTATGCTTCCTCAGTTCAAGTATAGCACTTCAACTACCCCCTGGCCCAGATTTTTTTTTCTTGATATTTTGGAGACAGAGTCTCAAGGACTTTTCTGCCTGGGCTGGCCTCAAAGGGAGATCCTCCAAGCCAGGCGCTGTAATAATCAGGAGGCTGAGATCTGAGGATCATGGTTCAAAGCCAGCTTGGGCAGTTAAGTCCATGAGACTCATCTCTAATTAACCACCAGAAAACCAGAAGTGGCACTGTGGCTCAAGTGGTAGAGCATTTGCCTTGAGCCAAAGAGCTGAGGGACAGTGCCCAGGACCAGAATTCAAACCCCACAAAGGACCAAAAAAACAAAACAAAACAAAACAAAAAGGGAAATCCTCCAAGGAGCCCAGGTGGCATGAGCCACCAACACTTGACTTCAAAGTAAAATATTCAGAGCATACTAAGAGTGAAACCAATAGGTAGATTAACAGCTGCAATAATTTTCAAGTAAATTTGGATTAAAAGTCAAGTTATTTTTTAAATGGGCTTATATATAACAGAAGCATAAATGATAAACCTGTACACCGGAAAGTTGACTAACTAGAGTCTATTTTTTTGTTTTAGTCACTTGTGGGGCTTGAACTCAGGGTTTGAGCACTGTCCCTGAGCTTCTTTTTGCTCAAGTGGTAGCACTCTACCACTTGAGCCACAGTGCTACTTCCAGCTTTTTCTGTTTTGTGGTACCAAGGAATCGAACCTAAGGCTTCATGCATGGTAGGCAAGCACTCTATCCCAACCCCAGCACTCTATACCAATCCCAGCATATCTTTTATTTATTTATTTATTGCCGGTTGTGGACCTGAACTCTGGGCCTAGGCGCTGTCTCTTGGCTTTTCAGCTCAAGGCTAGCGCTCTACCTCTTGAGCCACAGCTCCACTTCCGGCTTTTTTCTTTTTGCTTATGTGGTGCTGAGGAATCGAACCCAGAGCCTCGAGCATGCAAGGCAAGCGCTCTACCACTGAGCCACCTTCCCAGCCCAAATGTTCGTCCCAGCATATCTTTTATATAGGACTCAGAGTAAAGAAAAAGTGTCTTACTTCCAATTACAGGAGATAAAATGTATTACCTAGGTCCTGCTTTGGCAAATAAGACTGCTCCATTAAGTCAGGTGGCTGAGACTTCTCCAGCTGTTCCTCCTCCAGATCAATCACCACAAGCTCCCTTTGAGATGGGAAGTTTCTATTCTGAAGCCTGGTAGACAGGTAGTGCACAGACCCACTACTATCTACCAACTGGGTCTTTGATGGGGAAGTCCTGAAAAGACAGATGAAAAGAGAAAACTATTACTACTAGTTCTAAAAGAACTAGTCAGAATCCCAGGGCAGACAAAGCATAAGTGAAAGAGCTCCCTGTCAGAGAAATGATGAACAAAGAAGAGCCCAGTGACAGCCTAGGCATCTGGATTCATGCAGCCAACCAATATATCATGGCTGACATATATCTCTCCTAGGGGCTGGTCTGAGGCAGTATATCTCCCAGATACTTAAAACCCTTGTCAGCAGTTTCTCCCCAAATATCCACTGCCACTCACCAAACCCTATGCACTATTGTACTTGAGCCTAAATGGAGGTGTCAGACTTCTTATAAAGATAGATGATGAATGTTGACATCTAAACACTTATTTTTTCCACCAGTTTGGGAAGAATCAGCTTATCATTAATTAGCCTTTTCACTGTCTGGGCCGTTTGAAAATAAAAGCCAACTATCAGGGGTGGGTAGAGAACCTATGCCAACTATTAGTGCTCAGCTGGGAGAGCACTTCCCAAAGCATGTGTGAGGCCTTGGGTTTGAACCCTAGCACTACAAGAAAAAAAATCCAAACTATTAAATATTGCTGGAAAGTAAATGTACTAAGTAATTCCTCTATTATTTAATTATTTTTATTTTTTTTTGCTGGTCATGGGGCTTGAACTCTGGGCCTGGGTGTTGTCCCTCAGCTCTTCAGCTCAAGGCTAGTGCTCTACCACTTGAGCCACAGCACCACTTCTGGTTTTCTGGTGATTTATTGGAGATTAAGAGTCTCTCGAACTTTCCTGCTTGGGCTGGCTTTGAACCGCAATCCTCAGATCTCAGCCTTCTGAGTTGCTAGGATTATAGGTGTGAGCCATTGGTGCCCAGTGCTTTTACATATTCTTAAACACCTGAAATACTAGAGGAATGGCTGGGCACCTGTGGCTCATGCCTGTAATCCTAGCTACTCAGGAGGCTGACATTTGATAATTGTAGTTCAAAGCCAGCCTGGGCAGAAAAGTCCATGATACTCTTTTTTTTTTTTGTCGGTCGTGGGGCTTGAACTCTGGGCCTGGGCGCTGTCTCTCAGCTCTTCAGCTCAAGGTGAGCGCTCTACTACTTGAGCTACAGCGCCACTTCCGGTTTTCTGGTGGTTTATTGGAGATAGGAGTCTCATGGTCTCTCCTGCCTGGGCTGGCTTTGAACTGCAATTCTCAGATCTCAGCCTCCTGAGTAGCTAGGATTACAGGCGTGAGCCACCAGCGCCCGGCTTCCATGATACTCTTACCTCCAATAAGCCACCAGAAAACCAGAAGTGGCGCTATGGTTCAAGTGGTAGAACGCTAGCCTTGAGCTTAAGAGCTGAGGGACAGCGCCAATGCCTAGCGTTCAAGCGTCACGACCCATAAGAATAAACAAACAAAATAAACAAACAAAAAATAATAGCCAGCGCTGGTGGCTCTCACCTATAACACAAGGTGTTCAGGAGGCTGAGATCTTAGAATAACAGCTTGAAGCCAGCCCAAGCAGTTAAGTTTATGTGACTCTTATCTCCAGTAAACTACTCAAAATGCTGGAAGTAGAGCTCAAGTGGTAGAGCACTAGCCTTGAGCAAAAAAAGCTCAAGGATAGTACTTAGGCTCTTAGGTTCAAGCCTAGGACCTCCCTTCCTCCAAATGTGTAAAATAAAATAACTATCAATAGGCTTAAAGGGTCTCAGAGATGCATCATTAACTCAAAAATCATTACTTTTTGAAACAAGGTGATGGGATTATACACAGGTACCACCATGCCTGGCACAATTTTTGGGTGTTTATTATATGTTAGGTATTAAAGGAAGGCTCTATGGATTGAAGAAGAGCAAGTCCTAACTGTTACTCTCAAGTAGTCTAGTAGAGGGAACAAGTTTAGTGTGAATGTTTTAGGATTCAAGTTTACATTAGGTGCCTGTAGGATAAAGAAAAATAATTTGAAAGGCTCATTTAGCTTATTGATTAAACCATACCAATGACATCATTACCTCTAAACATGGCTTTAGTGCCAATGGAAGTCAGCTCTTTTTCCTCTTTACCACAACCACAATGCCACATAGAACTCTAGCCTCAAAAATAAATCCTTAGTTCCAGTGGCTCATGCTTGTATTCAAGCTACTAAGGAGGCTGAGATCTGAAGATCACAGTTCAAAGCCAGCTGGGGACAACACTTAAGCCCTGAGTTCAAGCCCCAGTATCAGCATAAACAAACAAATATATAAACAAATCCTTGCCAGGTACTGGTGGCTTACACCTGTAATTCTAGTTACTCAGGAGGCTGAGAACTGAGGATTATGATTCAAAGCCATCTCGGGCAGGAAAGTACATGAGACTCTTATGTCTACGTCACCCACCAAAAAGCTGGAACTGGAGCTATGGCTTAAGTGGTACATTAGCTTTGAGCTAGTTTTTTTTTGTTTTTGTTTTTTGATTCCTCAGTACTATATAAACAGAGAAGGCCAGAACTGGTTCGATTCCTCAGTACCTCATAAACAGAAAAGGCCAGAAGTGGCATTGTGGTTCAAGTGGTACAGTGCTAGCCTTGAGCAAAAGAAGCTCAGGGACAGTGTCCAGGCCCTGAGTCAAAGTCCCAGGACTGGCAATTAAAAAAAAAAAAAAAAAAGCTGGGTGCCAGTGGCTCACACCTGCAATCCTACCTATTCAGGAGATTGAGATCTGAGGATGGCTGGTCAAAGCCAGCCCAGGCAGGAAAGACCTCAAGACTCTCATCTCCAATAAACTACCAGAAAACCGGAAGTGGTGCTGTGGCTCAAGTGGTAGAGCTGAAGAGCTGAAGGACAGCGCCCAGGCCCAGAGTTCAAACCCACGCCCGGCAAAAAAACCCCTCAAAAACAGTGGCCAGGCCCTGAGTGCAGAACAAAAATAAAAGTAAGAAAAGAAAATATATTGTTACAAAGTTCTTGGAGGATGTTCTGAATATTTTTCTGGAATAAATCAGATAATCCTTTTCTAGAGGCAAACATTCCCATTAGGGCAAGGGTTGACTGGGGAAAGTCCATTAGCCTCCAGGCTTGCTTCAGTTGTAGTTCTCTTGTATTTTCTTGTGACCTTCAGAAAAGACAGGTCTAATTGCACATTTCTCATGTAGTAGCTTATTCCACATACAGGTCCAGAAAGCCTATACCCAATTAAATAAAGGAAGTGTTCTAGGAATTAGATGTCTCTGTATAAAATGGGGAGGGAAATTAGCTGGAGTTTAATGTTAGGAGATATTACCATCAACTTGATATTCTTACCTTTCCACTCCTAGTTCTTTATTTTTACTGGTGGAACTATCTGGAGATACTTGGAACTCATCAGCAGAAAAGGCTTTTCGAGTTTGGCTTACAGGATGTCCATTATTTTTCTCTGGAGTTAAAACTGCTTTAAAGGGAATGAGAAAACAAAGAAATCCACTTTACTTCTTTGTCCTAAGGGTGATAATTCAGGTGAGGATACTGATTTTTGTCTTTGCTTGTTTATTGAGACAAGGTCTCACATGCTCAGTCTGTTCTGGAACATGCTGTCTAGCATACATTGGCCTTGAACTTTTGATCCTCTTGCTTCAGCCTTAGAGTACAGGGATTTACATGAATCCAACAGCGCACTCAAGTTATTGATTTTAGAAGCAGCAATCTGTGACAATCAGATCGGTTCCTTTTTTTTTTTTGTCAGTTGTGGGGCTTGAACTCTGGGCGTGGGCGCTGTCCCTCAGCTCTTCAGCTCAAGGAGAGTGCTCTACCATTTGAGCTACAGTGCCACTTCCAGTTTTCTAGTGGTTTATTGGAAATAGGAGTCTCACAGTCTTTCCTGCCCGGGCTGGCTTTGAACCATGATCCTCAGATCTCAGCCTCCTGAATAGCTAGGATTATAGGCGTGAGCCACCGGCGCCTGGCAGATTGGTTCATTTTTTGTGTGCAGGTGCTGGTACTAGAGCATAAACTCAGGGTCTCACATTCTTGCTTGCCTTTTTCACTCAAGGTTAGTATTCTACCACTTGAGCCACACTTCCACTTCTAGCATTTTCTTTCTTACTTTTCTTTCTTTCTTTCTTGTTGTTTTTGTCAGTCATGGCTTGAACTCTGAAGTCTGGGTGCTGTCCCTGTGTTCTTTTTGATCAAGGCTAGCACTCTACCACTTTCAGCCACAGTGCTACTTCTGGTTTTCTGGTGGTTAAATGGAGACAAGAATCTCACAGAGTTTCCTGTCCATGCTAGCTTTGTACCATGATCCAGATCTTAGCCTCCTAAGTAGCTAAGATAACAGGCATGAGCCATTAGTGCCCTGCTAATTTTAGCTTTTTGATGGTTACAGGTAACAGTCTCACAGATTTGTTTAGCCTAGTTAGCTTTGAACAGCAATTCTCTGATCTCAGCCTCTTGAGTAGCTAAGATTATAAGTGTGAATAATTAGTTCCTGGCTCAAATTGGTTCTTAAATTAATCAGACAGAATTTCATATATACAAGTGACATAACAAATGCTAGCAGACAGAACTGACTAGAAAATAGTAACAATAAAAGGCTTCCTTTAGGTCAATAGAGTGAGACAGAGTGAAAAAATATCTATTTCTATATTTTAGCTTGGAATGATAGGAAAACAAAAAATATGTAATGCATTTTTATCTCAGCTGCCCAATGACCTCAGGGAATAGGCAAAGTCCTGGCAAGCACAAAGCACTTCCCTTCTCCCATCCCTGCTGCTTCTAGACTGTGAGATGGAAGTCTAAATTTTTACATATCGGGCCTGGGAAGGTGGCTCAGTGGTAGAGCGCTTGCCTTGCATGCATGAGGCCCTGGGTTCGATTCTTCAGCACCACATAAGCAAAAAGAAAAAGCCGGAAGTGGCGCTGTGGCTCAAGTGGTAGAGGGCTAGCCTTGAGCTGAAGAGCTGAGGGACAGCGCCCAGGCCCAGAGTTCAGGCCCCACGATCGGACCTCCCCCCCAAAAAAAGAACACCTTTCAAAGAATTAATGTTCAAAAAGTACAAGGAACTCAAGGCAAAGTTCTGGCATGTTAGAATGTTTTTGTTTTTTCAGTCTTAGGGCTTGAACTCAGGGCCTAGGCACTGTCCCTGACCTTTTACTCAAGGCTAGCGCCCTACCATTTGACCACAGTGCCTTTTCCAGCTTATGTGGTACTGAGGAATTAAAATCCAGGGCTTCATGTATGCTTGTCAAGCACTCTACCACTAACCCACATTCCCAGGGCCCGTTCCCCCCCCCCCCCCACTCCCCCCCCCTAATCAGTCACGGGGCTTGAACTTGAGGCTTGGGCTTGAACTTGAGGCTTGGGCACTGTCCCTAAGCTCTTTTACTCAAGACTAGAGCTCTACTACTTTCAGCCATACCACCACTTCCAGTTTTCTGGTCATTAAATAGAGATAAGATTCTCACGGACTTTCCTGTCCAGTCTGGCTTTGAACCATGATCCTCAGATAATAGAACATCTTTTTTTTTTTTTTTTTCTGGTTGTGGGGCCTGAACTTCTGGGGCCTGGGTGCTGTCCCTCAGCTCTTCAGCTCAAGGCTAGTGCTCTACCACTTGGGCCACAGCACCACTCCTGGCTTTTTTTCTGCTTATGTGGTACTGAGAAATTGAACCCATGGCCTCATGCATGCAAGGCAAGTACTCTACCATTGGGCCACCTTCCCAGCCCCTAGAACATCCTTTTGATTCATTAATTCTTCCAAATGTATGATTGTGTCACTGCTTTCTACAAAGTGGCCTGAAGGCAGAAATATTTAAATAGCAAAAACAAATAGTTAAAAACTATAAATGTGTTCTCCATTAAAAAGCTAATGATGAATGTAATTCAAACTTTTATTTTTTTTCTGCTCTGTCACTGACTCACCTTCTCAGCCCCATGAAACTCAAACTTTTATTAGAAAAGTTAAAATCCAGGGCTGGGAAGTGGTAGAGTGCTTGCCTTGCATGCATGAGGCCCTGGGTTCGATTCCTCAGCACCACATAAGCAGAAAAAGCTGGAAGTGGTGCTGTGGCTCAAGTGGTAGGGCACTAGCCTTGAGCTGAGGGACAGTGCCTAGGCCCAGAGTTCAGGTACCATGACTGGCAAAATAAATAAATAAATAAATAAATTTAAAAAATCCATAAATCGAGGCAGAAAATTTAAATAAAAGGTTCTATTAATTAGAGATTTTTTTTTTTAAAGACAGGGAGGACCTGGGGGAAAATAACCATTGATTTCCTGAGTTAATTTTCAAATGCATTATTTATAGTTCTTTTTGTGCTCATCTTTCTCAGACTTGTGTTTCCAAGAACACAGAGCTATGCCTGAAGCTACCAGTGCTTAGCGAAAGCAGCCTAGCCATGAATGGAGTTATCATTTTCACTTCCAAATACAGTGACAATGGATAAGGTGTAACATGCAGTTTCCGAAGAATCTTAGCAAGCAGCATTAACCACAGCAAAGCTTTTGTTTGTTGTTGTTTTTTTTGTCGGTCAAGATGCTTAAACTCTGGGCCCGAGCACTGTCCCTGAGCTCTTCAGCTCAAGGCAAGCACTCTACTATTTGAGCCACAGTGCCACTTCTGGTTTTCTGGTGGTTAGCTGGAGATAAGAGTCACAGACTTCCTTGTCCAAGCTGGCTTTGAATGGCGATTTGCCTTGGATCTCAGTTTCCTAAGTAGCTAGGATTACAGGCATGAGCCACCAGTGCCCAGCTCAAAGCTTGTTTTAAAAAGTAACACCAGGAATGTGGCTTAGTGGTAGAGTGCTTGCCTAGCATGCATGAAGCCCTGGGTTTGATTCCTCAGTACCACATAAACAGAAAAAGCTGGAAGTGGCGCTGTGGCTCAAGTGGTAGTGTGCTAATCTTGAGCAAAAGAAGCTCAGAGAAAGTGCCCAGGCCCTGAGTTCAAGCCCCAGGACTGGCAAAAAAAAAAGTGGCACCAGTGGCTCATGCCTGTAACCCTAGCTACTCAGGAGGCTGAGAACCAAGGATTGAGCTTGAAGCCAGCCCAACAGGAAAGTCCCTGAGAGCTTATCTCCAATAAACTTCCAAAAAGTGGGAAGCAGAGCTTTGACTCACTGGTAGAGCACTAGTCTTGAGCACAAAATCTTAGGAACAGTGCCCAAACCTGGAGATCAAGCCCCAGAACAGCACATGCATGTGTTCATGCACACGCGCGCGCGCACACACACACACACAAAATAGTAGGGGAGGCAGTTTAGCTTATGATACAGCTGAGCTAGTTGTAGCCTGTTTGAGGATCCAGGTTCAAGCCTCAGCAACACACACACACACACACACACACACACACACACACACACACACACACACACACACACACACACACACACACACACACACACACACACACACACACACACACACACTATTCTATCACAAGAACATTGGTCAAATAAATTCCTTATTACTACAGGCTCCAAGCATGAATAATGAGCTAACCTGAGTTAAGTTACTAATATATCAGAACTCAAAAAAAAAAAAAAAATCAGCTGGATGCTACTGGCTCATGCCTATACTAGCTACTCAGGAGGCTGAGATCTGAGAGGATCTCAGTTCAAACCTAGCCTGAGCAAGAGAGTCTGTGAGACTATCATCTCCAATTAATCACCAGAAAAACAGAATTGGTTCAAGTGGTAGATCACTAGCCTTGAGCAAGAGTTTAGGGACAGTGCCCAGGCTGAGTTCAGTCCCTATAACCAACAAAAAATAAAAATAAAAAACAAAATATCAAGGCTTTTCTGCTCAACTGGGGTATACTGGTATATGTTTATAGCCCTAGCACTGGGATGAGGAACTGAGGCAGGAGGAATGAAGGTTCATGGCCAGCCTAGGATATGTGGCAAGACTTTGCTTAGACTAGAGGTTTGAGTCAGAAGTAGATTGCTTGCCTAGCTAGCCCAAAGCACCGAATTCCAACTTCAGACACACACACAAAAGTCTTAACAGAACACATCCAAATTTCTTTTTCTCTCCTTTTCATTCTCCTGTTCATTTTCTGAACAGCAAACCCAATCCAGGCCTTCAGATATGATGATTTACCTGTAGGCTGGGTTAGCAGAATATAACACAGGGATATAGAGCTTAGCTCCAAAATAATACTAACATCTCCTGCAGGTCATTCTGTCTTCTAGATATGTCAACAAGTTATATTCTTCAAGGATATGGAATAAGCATCAGATCAAGCATTCAATAAATGTATTGACTACCTAATTTGTGCTAAGCATCGTGGAAGGTATTGGGAAGAATCAAGGAAAAGACATTGAGTTAGAAGCAAAGAAATACTAAAAAATGACAAATTACAAAATATAGAACCCATAATGAAATGGACTGGAGATTTTTAGCAAGTGCTTACAAGAACAAACATATCTGCAGGATAGAAAAGCTCAAACATGTCAGAAAAATCACTTGTACTGTAATGGGCCATGATCTCACAAAAGCTAGTATTTGCTTATTGAATGACAAACATAGTAGTACCTGATATGAAATAGCTTAATCTATAAAAACATACATAATCTACAATGAGTAAATATACACATTTGCACCCAAATATTTTGCAGGCTTAGGAATGATCCTTAGACAAACAGTAGGAAGATCTATGCTGAAGAGCAGGACACTAATATAAAGACTTTAATTAGGAGATTTTTATTACCTTTAGGAATACTAGATCCAGGCTAAAAGCAAAGTATAATTATAAAGCCCTAAGTTCAAACTCCAGTACCTCCAAAACAAACAAACAAATAAATAAAAATTTAAAAAAATAAATTAAGGGCTGGGAAGGTGGCTCAGTGGTAGAGCACTTGCCTTGCATGCTCGAGGCCCTGGGTTCGATTCCTCAGCACCACATGAGCAAAAAGAGAAAAGCCGGAAGTGGCGCTGTGGCTCAAGTGGTAGAGCGCTAGCCTTGAGCTGAAGAGCTGAGGGACAGCGCCCAGGCCCAGAGTTCAGGCCCCACGACTGGACCCCCCCCCCCCCCGCAAAAAAAAAAAAATAAATAAATTAAGCCAGGTGCTGGTGGTGGCTCATGCCTGTAATCCTAGCTACTTAGAGGCTGAGATCTGAGGATTGAGGTTCAAAGCCAGCCTGGGCAGTCAAGTCCATGAGACTCTTATCTCTAATAAACCACCAGAAAAACTGGAAGTGGTTCTGTGGCTCAAGTGGTAGAGCACTAGCCTTGAGCTGAAGAGCTCAGGCCCAGAGTTCAAACCCCACAACTGACAAAAAATAAAATAAAAAATAAAAATTAATTAATTAAAAAAATGCAAGATTCAGTTAGGCATAGTGGTTCAATCCTGTAATCTCAGCTATTCAGGAAATGGAGATTATGTTTTGAGGACAATGTGGTGGAAATTTTAGTGAGTCGTTTCCATAACAATCAATAACTCAGACACGATGGTACACATCTATAGTTCTAGCTATGTGGGAGGCCATAAACAGAGGATAAAGGTCTGAGGCCTACCTCAGATCTCAGCCTCCTGAACAGCTAGGATTGTAGGCATGAGCCACAGACACCCAGCCTAATGTTGATTTCTTACCTTGATAAAAGTATCATGGTAATCTAAGATATCAGGGAGAAACAAACTGGGCATGGGAGTATGTGGGAACATCCTGTACTATCACTGCACTTTTTCTGTAAACCTAAAATTATTCCAAAATGAGAAGTCTACTAAAAAAATATGTCATCTGTAAACCAGGTGCTGTGGCTCATACCTTTAATCAGGAGGCTGAGTCTGAGGATTAAGATTTGAAGCCAGTGCAGGAAGAAAAGTCTGTGAGACTCTTATTCCCATAAAAAGGTGGAAGTGGAGATGTGGCTCAAATGGTAGAGCACACAATGATCAAAAAAGCCAAAAAAGGCCTAGTACTGGTGGCTCATGCCTGTAATCCTAGCTACTCAGGAGGTTGAGCTCTGAGAATTGCGATTCAAAGCAGCCTGGGCAAGAAAGTTCCTAAGACTCTTCTCTCCAATCAACCACTAAAAAAACAGAAGTGGAGCTGTGGCTCAAAGTGGTAGAGTGCTAGCCTTGAGCAAAAAGCAAAAAGTAAGTGTGAGGCTCAGTTCAAGCCTTAGTACCAGGAAAGAAAGGAAGTCATGGGGATAGCAGGAGGTAAATAATACCTTTTTCTTAGAATTAAGAAATTCACTGGCATGTCAATTAAGACTCACATTAAGGTAAGGAAAAAAAAAAGCTCAAAATATGAGTTGGTATTAAATTGATGTTCAAAATATTTCAGAAATGAAACTACAAAGCAACATTTGTTTGTTTTACAAAGAAACATTTTAATCTATAAATCTTTAGGGAAAAAAAATCAACATACAATGTACGCCAAAGATGAGCTAGATTTAGACAGCTATTCAGAGCCAGACAGTACATTTCATATCTTGTGTGTTAGCACTGAAAGTCCAGTCTGTTTTAGGAATTAAGACTGTAAAAGCACCCCAAAGAGAGCTGTACTGTGGACAGGCATCTTCATTAGTCTCCAGATGAACTAAATGAAGATGCAGTTACAAAGAAAGCATTTAAACAAATACATTTTGACATACTGCCATAGCAACAGAGTCCTTAGCTTTTCATGCATGAGTTACTGTTTTTCTACACATAAAAATATTTCAAGGCACCTGTGGGGACCAAGACCACAGTTCTAGATAATAAACAGATCAAAGTTCCTACAAAGACTCAAAGGTAGGACTTGGAGCTCCTAGTGGACAGTGGAAGGAAGTGCTGAAGAAGGAACTTTAACCCTAAGATAGTCAGGTAGGGCTCACTGAAAGGGTTGTGAGGAGCACTTTGCCTGTTTCTAAGCACCCAGCTCCCCCTGGGAGGTCCCCTACCTGGTATGCTATTTCTCTAACTGAAAACTCAAAAGTGCAGTTGTTGAAGTAGAAGATATCTTTCTATAAATCCAAAAGTAGGTCAATTTCATCTTTGTGGTAGACCACTAGTGCTATAAGGAATATGTATGTCCTACTGTTTAATTTTCTAATGGCTTTGTGAACCTACTAGATTCTATGTCTACTATTAATATCCCCTGTTACACCCAGTGTCTTATGTTGTCTGTCTCTCCTATGAGCTCCACACAGCATCTCTGCCTTATAGGTGCTTTGGCAGTGATAGGAAGGTCTTGAGGTCCTGTGAATGGTACATGAGTTATAACCAGGCACTAAGTCTCTCAAATTATCCATGGGGTGACTCAGTAAATATGTACTGAGCAAAGATCAGAAAATGTTGGATCTAATCTGGAGGCCTAGTTGCTCATGCTTGTAATCCTATCTACTTGGGAGGCTAAGAATGGGAAGTTCAGAGTTCAGATGCTAGCCAGCAGAAAGGTACTATGAGACTCCTTTTCAACCTATGGCTAGGTGCAATGGCCTGCTCCTGCCACTCAAAGATGGGTGAGAGGCTGACAATGGGAGAATTTTAGTGTTAGGCTAGACAGGCAGGATGGTCCTTGAGGCTGTCTCCACAGAGAGAAGGTAGACTTCCTAGAAATGCCTGGGAAATCTAAAAGTATACAGATCTTGGGTCAGGAGCATGCCCTGGCAGCAAGCAGGACCCTATCCCAAAACTAGTGTACAAGGTTAGAGGAATAGTTACCACCTAGCAAGAGGGGGCTAGAGTTCAAATCTCGGTACTTCAAGTCGGAACTAGGTCCTTGTTCTTCAGAAGAAGTAAACAATTAAGGAGAGGAAGAATTGTGTTTTGTTTTGTGGTCTTGGGCTTTGAACTCAGGTCCTGGGTTCTGTCCCTGAGCTTCCCTGTGCTCAAGACTCTATCTACCACTTGAGCCATGTCAACACTTCTGGCTTTTTCTGAGTACTTTACTGGAGATAAGAGTATCCCAGACTTCCCTGCCTGGGCTGGCTTTGAACTGCGATCCTCAGCTCTCAGTCTCCTGAGTAGCTAGGATTATAGGTGTGAGCCTCTGGTGCCCAATGAAAGAATTGTTTTTAAGATGTTGGCATCTGGCCAATATTACAAACCTTTTCCTGATACGTTTTGTTCTGGTCCACAATAGTTAGCTAGGAGGGAAGTGGAGCTGGCGGGAAATTGCTGGCTCTTGTGCTGCTGTAGCACAGCTTCTAGATGGGCCATTTCCTGCTGGATCTTTTTCAGGTTATCTTTCATAATATGCTTCTGCTGCAAAAACAAGAAAGAACACCAAGGAAGTTATATGCTTTGAGAAACTTGCCATATAGTGAAAATAGGTTATACCAATTAATTTTAACATGGGAAATAAAATCATCTAGTATGGAATTATGAGTTCTGGTTGAATTTCCTTTTTCCAACCATATTCATACAATTAACAGCTGTAAATTATTTCAAAATGATGCTGTGGGAGAAGGGAATACTCTATTCTCCCAAATAGACTTGCTTTATTATGATATTCTTTTGTAGTTGGTTATTTTCTTATAAAGATGGGGAAGAAAAACAAGATAAAGTACTTGCTAGGCATTGGTGGCAGACACCTGTAATCCCACTCCGGAGACTGAGATTTGAGGTTTGTGGTTTGAATCTAGCCAGGGAAGAAAAGTCTGTGAGACTCTTATCTCTAATTGACCAACAAAAGCTGAAAGTGAAGGTGTAGTGCAAGTGGAAGAGCACCAGCCTTGAGCAAAAAAGTTAAGAAGTTGAAAGCCAGGCGCCAGTGGCTCATGCCTGTAATCCTAGCTATTGAGGAGGCTGAGATCTGAGAATCTTGGTTCAAAGCCAGCCCAGGGCAGGAAAAGTACATGAGACTTTTTTTTTTGTCGGTTGCGGGTCTTGAACTCTGGGTCTGCGCGCTATCCCTGAGCTCTTCAGCTCAAGGCTAGTGCTCTACCACTTGAGCCACAGCATCACTTCCAGTTTTCTGGAGATAAGAGTCTCATGGACCGGGCTGGGAAGGTGGCTCAGTGGTAGAATGCTTGCTTTGCATGCATGAGGCCCTGGGTTTGATTCCTCAGCACCACATAAGCAAAAAGAAAAAAAAAAAGCCGGAAGTGGCGCTGTAGTTCAAGTGGTAGAGCGCTAGCCTTGAGCTAAAGAGCTGAGGGACAGCGCCTAGGCCCAGAGTTCAGGCCCACTATCTGACTCCCCCCCAAAAAAAGAGTCTCACAGACTTTCTTGCTCGGGTTGGCTTTGAACTGTGATTCTCAGATCTCAGCCTCCTGAGTATCTAGGATTATAGGCATGAGCCACCGGCACCTGGCTTCCATGAGACTCTTATCTCCAACTAACCAACAGAAAACCAGAAGTGGCGCTGTGGCTCAAGCGCTTGCCTTGAACTGAAGAGCATAGGGACAGCACCTAGGCACAGAGTTTGAGCCCTATAACATACAAAAAAAAAGAAAAAGAAAAAGAAGTTGAGGCCCTTTCTTCAAGCTCTAGTACTAGCAAAACAAAACACAACAGAATGAACAAACACAATTACCATCTGTTTACTCAGTCAAGTGTCAAAGATTTGATATTGTAGGACTCACAAGACATTTAGTTTAATCCATTGAAAATACATGATTATTCAATTAGTTAGTCCTGTGGCTTGAAGTCATGGCCTAGGCACTGTCCCTGAGCTTTTGGATCAAAGCTGGTAATCTACCACTTGAGCTACAGCTCCACTTTTGGCTCTTTGGTAGCTAACTGGAGATACGAATTTTACAGTTTCCTGCCGGAGGTGGCTTCAAACTGTGATCCTTAGATCTCAGACTCTTGAGTAGTTAGGATTACATGCAAGAGCCACTGGCACCTGGCTGATTATTCATTTTTGAGATGGAGTTTCACCTCTCTGGCTTAAGTAATACGCCTACCTCAGCCTCCTGAGCAGCAGAAATGTGTGTGTGTGTGGGTGCCAGTACTGGGGCATGGGACTGGGTACTCATTGTCCTGTAACTATTTTGTTCAAGGCTGGAGCTCTACCACTTGAGCCACAGCTCTATTCATATCTTATTTTTTTGTGCCATTCCTGGCACTTGAACTCAGGGCCTGAGCACTGTCCTTGAACCTCTTTTGCTCACAGTTTCATTCCCAGAGTTTTAGTGGTTAATTGGAGATAAGAAATTCATGGACTTTACTGCCCAAGCTGGCTCTGAACTGTGATTTCCAAATTTCAGCCTCCTGAATAGCTAAGATTGCTGGCGTGATGCCCATGTAATTGTAACCCCTCTGTATGGTATTTTCACAATTACAAACAAATAATAAAAAAGATTGCTGGCGTGAGCCACTGGTGCCCAGTGACTTCCAGCTTTTTGATGGTTAACTGGAGATAAGAATTTCTGGGACTTTCCTGCCCAGGCTGGTTTCAAACCATGATCCTTGAGTCTCAGCCTCCTGAGTAGGATTACAGGCATGAGCCACCAATGCCTGGTAAAATATGTTATTTTTAAACCAATGAAATGTTAAAATTTTCTAAACAAAAGAACCCAACAAAACAAAACCTATAGCCAGATACCAGTGGTTTACACCTATAATCCTACCCACTTTGAAGGCTGAAATCTGAGGATTGAGGCTTGAAGCCAGCCCTGGTAAGAAAAGTCCATGAGACCTTCATCTCCAATTAACCAAGAAGCTGAGTGTGGCTCAACTGGCAATAGAGTGCTAGCCTTTAGCCAAAAAGCTCAAGACATTACCCAGGCTCTCAGTTCAATACTTACAACTTGCATGCATGTATGTGTGCATGCGCATGCACGTGCACGCACACACACAGAAGAAAAAAAGAAAAGAGAAAGCCTGGAGACAGTTACTGTTTCCAATTTCAAGATAATGGGTTCTTTTTGCTTATAGGACTCCTGTGGTTTATCACTCCGTTTCAAGAAGCAATATAGTAAGACCAACATATTTGGTAAGCAAACAATTTAGGTACATAGTAAGTTTTTCAAAATACTCATTTTTTTTTTTTTTTTTGCCACTTTTAGAAGGAATATTGATGTTTCTCTGCAAGCTGGGGCTGGGAGAAAGAAAGGAAACAGACTGTTTTGTCCTCTGTTTTTCTTCTTCTGGTCTTTGAATATGACTTTGCCCTCTACTAAAAAACAAGCCATTCTCTTGTTCCTGCTCCACTAGCTTTATAGTTTTCAGGAGGTTCTTTTTTTTAAATCACCAGAAAATATATTTCCAGTTTCACAAAGGTTTTTACTGCTACATGGAGACTGCTCTGCTGCCAATGTCTGCAGCAACGCCATTGCCACCACGTGGTACGCGTGAGTACTTACATCACTGATCAAACTGAAGCCAAGGCCCAGCCTCACTAAGACAGGAATGAAATCACCCACAGACATCTGGCCAATGCTTTAGCAGCTAAATTCGTTCTGCTACCATTATTCTATCTAACCTCTATGTGGCTATTAAATAGACCAGCAAATAAAAAAAAAAGAGTAGTGAGAGAATTAGTTAGATAACTTTTCCTTTAGGTTTTCCAATTGGAAATACTTCATAGCGTAGATAAATTCTCTTATAGGCAATTGGCTGAATACAAGTTAGGGAGAACAAAAGCAAGCAAGTCTTAATTCTAGTCGTGAAATGTCTCTTTGAGCTCTACTTTTTTTATCGCCATAGTGCTACTCTGATGTGTACTGCTAACACAGCCGCACTGATGCACAAGTTTCCTGAAAGCCATGTTTTTTCATAGGTTAATGCTTTCTGAACATTACAAAATTGTTATTACTACTGCCCTCAAGACAAAATCCAAATTCCTAAGCATGCAAAGAGGCCCTTCATACCCTGATCTTCTCCTCAGCATTCCCTACCTGCCCCCTTTTCCAGTGACACACAAAAAAACTTTGTTTCTTGGGTATGCCATGCCTCTGAGTTTTCACCTTATTTGCTTCTCTTTTCTCATTTGGAAAAATTCTTGTTAACTCCAAAAGTATCCTTTGGAAGTCTCTATATGTAACTTATCTATCAGGAACAGAGAATTCCTGATTATTTGGATCATACTGTGAATCCATTAGTACATATTCAAACTGATGTGTAACTTCCTTGATGAGAGGAATCTTCTCCTGACCATTTTAAATACATATATTTTGATTTCTTTATCTAGAGAAATGTATCTATGTGTGCAAGTATATGTCTCACTATATAACCCAGGTTGGCCTTAAACTCAGATCCTCCTGCTTCAGCCTCCTGTGCTGGGATTTTAGAAGGCTGGCAAAACCACACCAGACTTCTTGTCACTTTTGTCTTTCCAATGCCTACTCAGTATTCATTAGTGCAGAAATCAATGAATGAATAGAATTAAGCAGTCATTGGTTTAAAAAGTTATTAACACTAGCAAATTAGGCATTCTCTATCCTCTGTATACTTTTTAGTTCTGTGTAAACAGAGAGGAAAGATCCCACTTCTATCATTTTTGTTGTGTATGCTACTTCTGATTTTAAGTTACTTTGTTTTCAGTGATTCTTAATAAAACACTCTGCAAAATGAATCCTGAACAAACAGACATGGATCTCTGGGAATAAGATCAGGGATATTAAAAAAACAAAGAAGCAGTTTATTGAATGTCAAACATAATACAATATGGTGAAGGCAGATGGAATTTTAAAACTTGGAGGGAGGAAGGGTGAACACATGCAATCATGCTATTCAGTATATACAATGTGGGAAATGACCTATGTAACTCATGGGCAGGGATGGGAGGGGGAATCTGGGGCAAAGTAAGGGGAAGAAGTAACATTGTCCAAAACAAGAAATGTACTCATTGTCTGACTTAGAAAACGATAGCCCCGGGAAGGTGGCTCAGTGGTAGAGTGCATGCCTTGCATGCATGAGGCCCTGGGTTCGATTCCTCAGCACCACATAAGCAGAAAAAAAAAAGCTGGAAGTGGTGCTATGGCTCAAGTGGTAGTGCGCTAGCCTTGAGCTGAAGAGCTGAGGGACAGCGCCCAGGCCCAGAGTTCAGGCCCCACGACCGGACCACCCCCCAAAAAACAACATAAAACGATAGCCCCTTTGTATAATACATTAATACTACTACTAATAAAATTATTTAAAAAACAAAACACTGGAGGGTGGGAAGTGTGGCTTAGTGGTAAAGTACTAGCCTAGCATGCACGAAGCCCTGGGTTCGATTCCTCAGTACCACATACACAGAAAAGGCTAGAACTAGTGTTGTGGCTCACATTGTAGAGTACTAGCCTTGAGCAAAAGAAGCTCAGGGACAGTGCTTAGGTCCAGAGTTCAAGCTCCAGGACTGGCAAAAACAAAAACAATAACAAAAAAACCCCACTGGAACTTAAAACTTTAAAGCACAAGGGACAAAATCAACTGACAGGCCTCATGTCCATATCTACAAAAGAGTGGAGGAAGCCAGGTGCTGGTGGCTCACACCTGTAATCCTAGCTATTCAGGAGGCTGAGATCTGAGGACTGAACTGTAATCCTAACTACTCAGGAGGCTGAGATCTGAGGATAGCGGTTCAAAGCCAACTTGGGCAAGAAAGTCCGTGAGACTCTTACCTCCAATAAACCACTAGAAAACTGGAAGTGGCGCTGTGGTCCAAGCGGTAGAGCGCTTGTCTTGAGCTGAAGAGCACAGGGAGAGCACCTAAGTCCAGAGTTCAAGCCTCCTGACTAACCAAAAAAAAAAAAAAAAGAAAGAAAGAAAAGAGCAGAGGAATTGTAGAAAGAGAAAAGATCTCCTAAAGCCTTTTCACCAATTTAGTCACCATGGCACTTCTGCAGAGGTGGAAAACAAGTGACAAACCAGGAACAGAATGGACAGTCACCTCAAAGTGTTTTTTTTTCTAACTCCAATGAACTTCGGCCTAGAGGTCTTTATTCTGTATGGAGAATGGACAACAGAAGATACAACCTCCCTGTAGTTCTTGCAATAGTACCCAGATTTATAAGATTTTGTAACTGGATACTACCCAGTGTTGGCAAAGCTAAAAGAAAATAGGAACTCAAATCACAGGGGCTGGAGAAGCACAAAACTGTTTAATCTCCTTCTCCCTTCTCCTTCTCCTTTTTCTGTAGTACTGGAGTTTGAAGTCAAAGACTCACCTTGTGTACCCTACCACTGGAGTCATGCTTCAACTTTTTAAGCTATTTTTCAGATAGTCTAGAGTTCTTTGCTTGGGGCCAGCATGGACTGAAATCTCCTACTTAGGCCTCCCATGTAGCTGGGATACCAGATATTAAGATAATGTCTGTCTAAATTTGTTGTCTAGGCTGACCTCCAACCACAATCTTCCCAATCCACCACTTACGTTACTGGGATTCCAGTCATGAGTTATTTCGTCATAATTGGTTAAATCTTTCTTTGTTAAGATTTTTTTTTTTTTTTAAAAGCTGGGCACCAGTGGCTCACGCATGTAATCCTAGCTACTCTGGAGGCTGAGATCTGGGGATCACTATTCAACACCAGCCCAAGCAGAAAAGTTCCTGAGACTCTTATCTCAAATTAACTACCAAAAGGCCAGAAGTGGAGCTGTGGCTCAAGTGGTGGCAGAACCCTAGCCTTGAGCAAAAAAGGTCAGTGACAGCATCCAGGTGCTGAGTTTAAGCCCTAGTACCACAAAAACAAAAACAAAAGAAGCTGAAACAAGACTGAATTTTGGTAGCTCATAGGCTCATTTTGGTAGCACATATGCTAAAACTAGGAAAGTACAGAGGTTAGCATGGCCCCTGTGTAATAATGAAATAAAATTCATAAAGTGTTTCACATTTTAAATTCCTGCTCCCCTTCAAATAAACCTCATGTTAAAAAAATGATAATTTTGGGCTGGGAAGGTGGCTCAGTGGTAAAGTGCTTGCCTTACATGCATGAGGCCCTGGGTTCAATTCCTCAACACCACATAAGCCAGAAGTGGTGCTATGGCTCAAGAGGTAGGGCGCTAGCCTTGAGCTAAAGAGCTGAGGAATACCGCTCAGGCCCAGAGTTCAACCTCCATGACTTCAGACACCCCCCCCCCCCCCCAAATGATAATTTTTAAGTATGTGAACTTGGGAAAATTTTGTACTTTTTTTTTTTGGTTGGTTGTGGGGCTTGAGCTGTGGGCCTGGACTCTGTCTTTCAGCTCTTCAGCTCAAGGCCAGTGCTCTACCACTTGAGCCACAGCGCCACTTCCAGTCTTCTGGTGTTTAATTAAAGAGTCTCATGGACATTCCTGCTTGGGCTGGCTTTGAACCGTATCCTCAGATCTCAGCCTCCTGAGTAGCTAGAATTACAGGCGTGAGCCGCCAGCACTCAGCAATTTTTGTACAAGTTTTACAATATAAAAATCAGGAAACAGTCTGGGAATGTGGCTTAGTGGTAGAGTACTTGCCTAGCATGCATGAAACCCTGGGTTTGATTCCTCAGTACCACATAAAAAGAAAAAGCCAGAAGTGGTGTTGTGGCTCAAAGTGGTAGAGCACTAGTATTGAGTAAAAGAGCTCGGGGACAGCACTCAGGCCCTGAGTTTGAGCCCCATGACCGCCTGCCTCCTCCCCACCCACCCCCCCCAAAAAATCAGGAAACAGAGCCATGTTCTATAAGGCAGATAATATAAATACAATCATGCTTTCAAATGTTTTTGCTATGGGGAAGATGAGTTTTCAAGGCCTAGCTTATTAATTAAATTCAGAATTTTGTGGTCTACAATGAACTAGATGATGTGTATGTGTACAGCATTATAAATGAAGTAATGTGAATTCCATAGAGGTGCTTACAATTTAAGGAGACATTATTATACACAACTGTTGTGACATTAATTCAAAGGACAAGATCAACAGATAGAAGAACACAGTTACATACCACTGAACGCAAAAGAGATCTCACACTCACACATATGTGCTTTTTACCTGAGAGGTTAAAAAATCGTTCTGTGAGGACACTTCTGAGATATTTTCAGAAAGGTTTGTTTCACTGTCATAGCCAGATGCTGCTTCACCTTAGATGATAATAAAAATAGAGGTTAAGATGTAAAAACAGACCATAAACATGGCAATCTGCTGAATTGGTTTCATCCCTTGGGCAGGATTGGTTTTACTTTCATACTACCTAAAACTCCTGGGTTTGGGACATCATAAAATTTCAACCAGAAGCAAATCCACCAATGATTAGGACATAAATGCTGGTTTAGTAGCAGATGTTCTGGCTGTATGAATGACTTTTGATGTTTTAGGAAAAGAAGCTTAAGAGGAATATTTTTCAAGTTTAAGTAGTGATTAATTTAACTGTACTTGAAAACTTGTAAAAGATGCTCTGTAAAAGGTATAAACATGCCAGTTGCTAGGGGCTCACACCTGTAATCCTAGCTACTTGGGGCTAGGATATAAGCCAAAGCCAGTCAGGGCAGAAGAGTCTGTGAGACTCTGATCCCCAATTAGTGCCCTCCCCTCCCCCAAAAAAGAGCTGGAGGTAGAGCTGTGGCTCAAGTGGTAGAGCACTAGCCTTAAGCACAAAAGCTCAGGGACAGTGCCCAAGTTCTGAGTTCAAGCCCTAGGACAAGCACACACACCAAAGAGAGGCATAAACCTGCTGGTTACCAGTGGCTCTCATCTGTAATCATAGCTACTCAGGAGGCTGAGATCTGAGCATCATGGTTCAAAGCCAGCCCAAGCAGGAAAGTCCCTGAGACTCTTATCTCCAATTAATCACCAAAAAAACCTAGAAGTGGATCTGTGGCTCAAGTCGTAGAGCATCAGCCTTGAGGAAAAGCTCAGATATAATGCCCAGACCCTGAGTTCAAACCTGAGGAACACCCCCCTCAAAGACATAAACATTTATTACTATAGACTAGGGCAAACAAACATACAAACAACAAAAACAGTCAACCCTGGTTTGAGTACCTAAGTTTGAATCCGTTCTTTCCTCTTCTTCCAGGTCAGGTTCCCTTTCTTCATCATCTGAAACCAATCCTCTGTCACTCAGAACAATAACTTCCTGGTTCATTTGTTTGGGAGAAGAAAACATCAAGAAGGAATCTTGGGAGTTGGAGTTTGTAGTCAGGTCTACCAATGCACCATGATGTGAAGGCCCTGTATTGTTAGAGCACTGTGTCTCCTGGGATGCTTCCACTAAGATCTCATTATTGTTGACTTGTAAGCTGTTCCTCAGTGATACTGGGTTCTCCTCTGTTTCCTGAGACAGACATTTTATTGTATGTCTGATAGACTGAGATGGTGTATTGGTTACTTTACTAAATAAGAAGTGTCGGAAGCAGGGAAGATCATCATCTATTTCAAGACCGTGAGCCAAAGATTCAGGGGTTAAAGAAGGGCTAGGGCTGAACTCTCTTTTCTGAATACTTTTGCTAAAAACAGCAGATGTTTCCTCAATGGCACCTTCAGTAAAGCTGGTATTTTCCTTTATTTCACCATTATATAACAGATCCTCAGGTGTCTCAGGACAAATCTGAGAGACATCATTACTTGTCATACCTGTTTCTAGGGTATCTGAAATTAGACATGGAGAAAAATCTGCACCAACAGCCTGAACTACTCCTTCATTTTCTGTTTGCTCTTTTATTTCAGGATGCTTACAATTACTTACAGGGAGAGTTTGGTTATAGGCTTCAGGTTGCGTATGACCTAATCGTAGCACAGCATTTAGTTCAGGCCCTCGGCTTCTGTTTAGTTCTTCTTGAATGTTTTCAACACTAGAAGCTACTTCGTTAATACTGGAGCCTCCTCCAGTAGTACTGGAGCCTACTTCATTAATACTGCCTGGGCTGGCTCCTTTAAAAGCATTTTCTATGTTATTTGGGCTAAACATGCACAGTGTACTTTGAATAATGCTCTCACTTCCCAATCCTTCTTCAGATGACATTGACTGTTTCTCAAACATTTGCTTTAACAGGCTTTTCTTACATTTAGTTTTAACAAATGGCCTAACTGGAGAAATTGATGGTATAAGATATGAATTCTGTAAAATTCTAAGTTTATTGGCAGAAGTTAGTTCATTGGCGGTTAACTGAGATGATGGACAAAGCCCAGAGGTTTTTGCAATGCTACTACTACATTCAGCATTATCCCCTGGCTCATGCTTCTGACAAATTACAGGGAAATCCGTAGTGGCCTTGACTGCCTGTGCAAGCCTGGTTTTAGACTCTTTGTCCTGATGGTTTTCTCTTTGTTTATATTCAAGAATGACATTTGGACTTTGCTTACTTAAGGACATAGAGTGGGCAGAGACTGTGGCACATTCCTTTTCTGGATTTCCTGAATTTGAAAACAGAGCAAATGACTGACGCTTTGAATCTTGGAATGTGTTCTGCAGATACTGGGTATCAAGTTCACTCTCTTCTGTTTCTATATCACTCTCCAGCATATGGCTACCTTCCTGTCTCAATGGATCCATAAAGCCTTCTGTGTCGTGTCTAGTAGTTTTAGAACAATCATGGATAATGTGGTTGGGGTTTCCAACTGCTTCATACTGAATCACACATTGATTTGATGCTGTTTTCCCCCTTCTAAGGGGGTTAATTTCTAGTAATGAGATACTGTCCTGGGTGTCATATTCAGAATCAGGTGTCCATGAAAGACTGGTACTGTCTGCAGATAATTCAGTTGGCATTGCCCTTTCTCCATTTACCAACCGATCTCTGGAGTCTTTGGTAAGATTTGGCACTTCTATTGTTTCTAGGTTCTCTTCTATTTCTTCTCTCTCAAGGCTAGGTCCGACAGATTCTTCAAGTTTATTAGAACTTGAGCAGTTAGTAAAACCAGCAGGTGTGTTTGTTAACTTCGGTTCTGAGGAAACATCACTGTCACATATCTTACTTATTTGTTCATCTAGCTTGATACTCTTTTTGGCTCCAGTTGTAGACTGTGTGTCTTCTAGGAATTGAAGAGTTCTGCCACACCTATCTGATGTTTGACTGGAACTTTTTTTTGTCTCCTCACTGCTTGTACAACTGTTAATTTGTAGTTCACTAGGACTAGGTGGGCTTAGAGCTCTGAATACTACGTCAGGTGCATGAAGATGTCTGATAGGGGGCTTTCTCCTCAGCCTATTTTTCTTAGGTAGTTTTGGACTGCGGATATTTAATCCTACTTCCATAGTGTTTATACTGCTCCTTATTGATTCAGCTTTAGACTCTTCTCCCAACGATTCTTCTGGATTCACATTTTTCTCTTTCTGAACATAGTCACTTTTTATTTCATTCTCATGACCACTTTTAGTCAGACTCATCTCCTGACCATTTTGCTCCATTTGGTGAGTTTCCTGATTTACCTTTTCAGGAGTCTTTTGAACAAGTGTCATATCTGCTGCCTTAATAAAATCCTCAGGTTGCAGGCATGATGTAGCTCTCCTTTTACGCTTTAATTTATTTGTGAGAGGTTGCTCCTGTATCTTTGCTTCTGTAGGAAGTGCTATTCTTATTAGATTTTCAGGTACATGGTTCAAATTAGGGAGGCTTGTCCTCCTCCGATAGGTTTTACCAAATATTTTATCTTCCATATTACTTGAAACTATTTTGAGGCTTTTACTCTCTAAAGAAGTATGAGGATCAGTGGCCAGTAAGTTTATTTTCTTTGAAGGACCAGAATATCCATCTACTTCATGTGGAACTTCTAAGGTACCATCTACTTCAGCATTTGTTTCAGACTTCCCACTGTCATCAGAAGTTAGCATATCATCACTTCTGGTAAGCCAGTCATTAACTTTCTGAATGCTGCTATTTAGAGTTATCCAGGGAACATCTTGGGTACTTCTTGGATTCTCAGAACATTCTTTACACCCACAGCCGGGATCAGCATTCAGATCTACCTTTGTCTCTGCACTGGGAATCTGCCTATCATGACACGTTTCCTTACGTTCAATCCATCTGCTCTGTTGGCTCCTTGCTAAGGCAGGCTGTTTGCTTTTATTACAGAATGCAGCCTTTTCTACATCCATTCTGTCTTTAGTGAGTAATAAACTACTGTTCTCATGCTGTAATGAGCTGGCATGAGTATTTGTGCCACATGGCTCCTCATGCAAGTTTGAAACAGAAATGCTCTCATTCTTTTCTGGATGCCTCTCAGTGGCCTGTTTCCCAATAGTGTTTGAATCATTACTAGTGGATTGATGTCCAATATTTGTTATGTCCTCCTCACAGGAAGCTGAAAGTACACAAAAACAAGGTGCTTCTTCAAAAATACCAACTGAATTATCATGAAAAAAATATATACCTAATACAGTTTGAGAGTAGAAACCAACCATCTTTCTTTCTTTTCCTGTCGTTGTGGGGCTTGAACTCTGGGCCTGGGCACTGACCCTGAGCTCTTCAGCTCAAGGCGAATGCTCTACCACTTGAGCCATAGTACTACTTCTGGTTTTCTGGGGGCTGGGAAGGTGGCTTAGTGGTAGAGCGCTTGCCTTGCATGCAAGAGGCCCTGGGTTCGATTCCTCAGCACCACATAAGCAAAAAGAGAAAAGCTGGAAGTGGCGCTGTGGCTCAAGTGGTAGAGTGCTAGCCTTGAGCTGAAAAGCTGAGGGACGGCGCCCAGGCCCAGAGTTCAGGCCCCACGACCGGACCTCCCCCCCCCCAAAAAAAAAACAAACTGGTTTTCTGGCTGGCTTTGAACCATGATCCTCAGATCTTGGCCTCCTGAGTAAGTAGCTAGTATTATAGGTGTGAGCCTATAATACTGAAGATGTGGCTCACGTATGTACTTTCACAGAATTGCTATTCATCTAGTCATTATTTCCACTCAGACAATGAAAGAAGGAAGGAAAGAAGGAAAGAAATAGAGATCAACTATGAATCATACAGTATATTGTTAAAATTTCATCAGTTTTAGTCCATTGAAATAAATATATTATGACAGCTAAGGAAAAAATGATACTCTAACTCTGGCCAAGAGATATTGTAAATTATAAATGTCCCAAATGGTCTTCTGGGAAGTGGCGCTGTAGCTCAAGTGGTACAGCGCTCGCCTTGAGCTGAAGAGCTGAGGGACAGCGCCCAGGCCCAGAGTTCAAGCCCCACGACCGACCAAAAAAAAAAAAATGGTGGCCAAATGGTCTTCTGAAGAATCTAATTACAATATTGTATATACCCACTCTCTCTACAGCATGCCCATTAAGTTAGGAAGACTTTCCTTTACCTCTTTTTGAAGAATCCAAACTGGCTTCAGCACTAGTTCCTTGAGGAGTGATTTGTAACAATTCTTCATCTCTTACACTAAAGGTTTTGTAAAAGACAGGAACCTTAATAAGAAACACTAGTTATATACTCCTAAGTCTATCAAATGTGCAAGATGAAATATTTTAGCTCCCCTTGGTAGAGTTATAGTAGCTAACCAATGGGATTCACATTTTGACATTTGCTCTCTTTAAGTAACTTCTAGTCAAAATGAAGTACCAAACACTTAGAATTTAGTCACAAACTCAGAGCAGCAATTTAGAACGATGCTTTATAAACATGTAAATGAGAATAAAAATTTAAGGATTGCTACAAAATAGCAGATACCCTAACAGAATGTAAAGAACACCATTTTGTTATATTGCTTTCTATGCTTCTTTTCAGGCTAGAACCACTTCTTTGTAATTGATAATGAGCCTGGTACCTGTGCTCATGCCTGTAACCCCAGCTACTCAGGAGGCTGAGATCTGAGGATCACAGTTTGAAGACTGCTCTGGCAGAAAAGTCTGTAAGATCTTACCTCCAATTAACCACCAGAAAACTGAAGTGGAGCTGTGGAGCAGAAAAGCTTATGGACATTGCCTAGACCTGAATTCAAGTCCCACAACCAAAACCCGCCCCCCATAAAATTACTATATAAAGAACTCAGAGAATGAACCATGCAATAGAAGGAAGTGATTCAAGGGTTCTACTGTTATCCTAAATTCCTTTGGGCATTACAAATAAATAAGTGTGTATGTTTGGTTTTGTTACACTTACTTTACAGTTGGAGCAATTAAGTCACAGAGTGGTTAAGAGGTTTTCTCAAGTTAGCTCTAGTGAGTGGGTAAAATGTGTGTAGGGAAACTGAAGGCATGGCTCAGGTGGTAAAGTGCCAGCAAATGAGTAAAATCATTAGATATCATCAGTTCAAGTCCTGGTCCTGGGGAAAAACTAGTTAACTAAATAAATAAGGGCTAGAGGCATGGCTCAGCAGTACATCTGTCTGCCTAGCAAGCAGAAAGTTCTGAGTCCAAGCCTCAGTACTAAAAAAGAGAAAAAAAAATATAAAAGGTTTCCTCCGGTATAAAATGAAAGGATGCAAACTGATGATCTCTAAGGTCTCTTTTAATACCAAGATCCTAATTAAGAGAAACTCTAATCTTCAGCATTAACTAGATATAAATGTCAGTTTTCGTAGACAAAGGCTTCTTTTGACTCACCTGCAATAATTTGATATATAACTTGTTTCTTCAGATGAATCAGAGCCTAAAAAATAAAAAGTAAAATCCTCAAAAGCAAATAAGTAAAATTTTTTAAATTAAAAGGGTGAAACTCAGGAGGGATGGGAGAGAATGTTGAAAGGGGTGGCAGTGATCAAGATGTATTATATTCATAAACTGCTTTGTTATAAGGAAACTCCTTTGTACAATTAAAGATAAAAAACAATAAAAAGCGAGTGTTAAACTCAAAAAGTATAATTGTTGTAAAACAGATACTCATTCATCTAGTTCTATTTACTGAGCACCTACTATTTGGCAGGTGCACTAGATGTCAGGCCAAGAAAAAAAGTGGCTGAAAGTATAGGCTATGAAGCCTTTTCAGAGCTGAGTCCACATTTTACCCACTCACTAGAGCTAACTTGAGAAAAACCTCTTAACCACTCTGTGACTTAATTGCTCCAACTGTAAAGTAAGTGTAACAAAACCAAATAATCTCAGAGGTTTGACATCATCATAAATGAGCTTACAGTACCTAGAATATAGAATATAGTTAAGTACCCCTGAGGATTAACTACTATAATTATTTAAACTATTTTTTTAATGACCTAACAACTGTTGGCAATAGATTCATTATCTTATGGGTCAGAGACAAGCAGATAATTTCATTAAAATCCAGTAAGTGTGGTGGTAAACACATGGTGGGACCTGGAATCTCAAAAGGGGACCATTTGTCCCAATTCTAAGAGATAAGGCAATGGAGAAACCTGTTTGAGTTCAACTCTCCTTTTTTTTTGGTGGTACTGAACTCAGGACCTCCTGTTTGCTAGGCCCTTACTTTTGCCTGGCACTCTACTTCTTGAGACCTACTTCAACCCTGGGCTGTTCTTAAGACTTCCTAGTATATAAATCCCTCTAAATACTATATACCAACCCATCATGTTCCTTTTTATTGCTAGTTTCCATTTTTTTTAAAGGTTATTTACATATACTTATAACAATAGTCTTTCTTTTGCTGCCTTTATAAAGGTTCCTCAAGGTAGTGACTACACCTTTTACATTATTTATGACTCACTACAAAGTTTATGAAATCATTTTATTTTCATTTCCCAAAGCTCCCTGCCACATGTATAAATCATGACTAAGGTTTCTGGTAAAACTATAAGACAAGCCATAAAGCAACTATTAGTTTGCACTTACAAAATCTGAGAGCCTTACCCAATTCAATGTAGACAGATTTATTTTGAGGCTGTATCTGCTTCTTTGTCTTCAGAGAGCTCACAATCCCAAGTTTAGAGAGTTGGACACTAAGACTGACGTCCTGCTAAGCAGTAAAGAATGATCAATTGTTGGCCAATTCTATGCCTCTTCTTTTTTTTGTCAGTCGTGAGGCTTGAACTCTGAGCCTGAGCTCTTCAGCTCAAGGCTAGTGTTCTACCACTTGAGCCACAGCACCACTTCTGGTTTTCTGGTGGTTAATTGAAGATAAGAGTCTCATGGACTTTCCTGCCCAGGCTGGCTTTGAACCATGATCCTCAGATCTCAGTCTCCTGAGTAGCTAGGATTACAGGCATGAGCCACTGGCACCAACTATGTGTGATTTTTATAAGTATTAGAATAGCATATTTTGATATAATTTTTTTCTTTTCTTTTTTGCCAGTCCTGGGGCTTGAACTCAGAGCCTGGGCACTGTCCCTGAGCTTCTTTTGCTCATGGTTAGTGCTCTACTACTTGAACCACAACACCACTTCTAGTCTTTTCTTTTTATGTGGTACTGAAAAATCAAATCCAGGGCTTTAGGCATGCTAAGCAAGCACTCTACCACTAAGCTATATTCCTAGCTCACTTGATATAATTTCTGACAAGAGGTTGGCAACTAAGGCAAGATAAATTTTAAGGGGCCGGGAAGGTGGCTTAGTGGTAGAGTGCTTGTCTTGCATGCATGAGGCCCTGGGTTCAATTCCTCAGCACCACATAAGCAGAAAAGGGACAGCTCCCAGGCCCAGAGTTCAGGCCTCATGACTGACAATCAATCAATCAATCAATAAATTTTAATAAAGGAAAACAACAATAAAGCCCCGGTATTCCTAAGAACATTTAGTAAAGGAAACAATGCTTAAAAGCCCAACATTAATTTACTGAAGCTTTCCTTCTTACTATTTCACCCATCAATGACTGCTGAAATATAAATGCTAGTCTCATGATTTTTTTTTTTTTTAAAGCACTAGCCTTGAGCTAGTACTCTACCACTTGGGCCACAGTTCTTAAGGCTAGCGCTCTATCACTTGAGCCACAGCACCACATCCGGCTTTTTTCTTTTTGCTTATGGGGTGCTGAGGAATCGAACCCAGGGCCTCTGGCATGCAAGGCATGCGCTCTACCACTGAGCCACCTTCCCAGCCCTTGGGCCACAGTTCTACTTCTGGCTTTTTTGGTGTTTCCCAGGGATTTTCCTGCCCAGGCTAACAGGAAAATGGACCATGATCTTCAGATTTTAGCCTGCTGAGTAGCTAGGATTACAGGTGTGAGTCACCGGTGCCTGGCTACAAATTTTTTTTTTTTTCCTTTTTTTCTTGTCATTCTTGAGGCTTGAAATCAGGGCCTGGGCACTGTCCCTGAGCTTTTTCACACAAGACTAGTGATGTACCACTTTGAGCCACAGCACCACTTCCAGTTTTCTGGTAGTTAATTGGAGATAAGAGTCTCATGGACTTTCCTACCCAGGCTGATTTCAAACCATGGTCCTCAGATCTCAGCCTCCTGAGTAACTAGGATTACAGGTGTGAGTCACCAGCACTTGATTGGAAGTGATTTTTAAGTGCTTAAAAGGATCAGTGAGTTTGTGACTCTTTGAGACAAGCATCAAAAATGATAAAGCTTCAAAAGAGGACAAGGGTAAGGTCTCTTGACCACAGAACATACTCTAACTTTCTGAATGCCTGTAATGCTTACTAATCAAAATTCTTGCCCAGCCAGGTGCCAGTGGCTCACTTCAGTGCTCAGAACTACTCAGCAGGCTATGATGCTGAAAATGCTGGTTCAAAGCCAACCCAGTGGAAAAATCTGAGATCCATCTCTAACTAGCAAAAAAAGGGCTAGAAACATGGCTCAAGTTGTAGAATGACACACAAGCAAATAAGCCAGCCAACTGCATTTAAACCCTCAAAATTGTCCAACCACTCAATTTACTACCTCCATTTCTTTACTAAGCTTAAAAACACTGAAAATATTCACTAATAGTGGGGGGGCAGGGGGAGGATGGGAAGGGATGGGAAGGGGAAACAAAGGAGGAGGCTACAATGTTTCTTGCCCATGTAATTGTAACCCCTCTGTACAGTATTTCCACAATAAAAAGAAAAAGAAAAAAAAAGAAATGTACTCATCTTGCCCATGTAATTGTAACCTCTCTGTTCAGTATTTTCACAATAAAAAAAAAAGTACAGTCTCATTAAAAAAAAAGAAAAAGAAAATATTCACTAATGCACAATGCTTAATAAAGAGATGCTGCTAGATGAAATGAAAATGGCTTTACCAATGTAGAATTTTGAGATTCATTCTGTCGAAACTTTTTGGCACGGTCTCGGTAGCCCAAACTTTGGATGACAGAAATCTCTTCCTCTAAATGTTCAGGAGACTTATTCTTCTTTGAAAAGTTATAATTCACATTTGCAACTATAAATTACAAAGAAGTATATTAGTTAGAAGTCATTTAATTTTCATTAAAGAAATCCTGTGTTTGCTTTTTGTATTTCTGTGCTGGGGTGGGGGCTTGAACTCAGGGCCTAAGCATTGTCCCTGAGATCCTTTGCTCAAGGCACTCTACAACTAGAGCCACAGCTCCACTTCCAGTTCTGGTAGTTTTAGTAGAGATAGGAGTCTCTGGTGGCTTAAAACTGCAATTCTCAGATCTCAGCCTGAGTAGCTAGGAGTACAGGTGTGAGCTACCAGTCCCTTAACTGTTTGGTTTGGTGCAAGTATTAGGGCCTGAGCTCAAAACTTCACACTCTTGCTTTAATTAGTGTGTGTGTGTGTGTGTACGCGTGTGCACACCAATCCTGGGGAATTAAGGGGCATGAACTCAAGGACTGGGTGCTCTCCCTGAGTTTTTTGGCTCATAGCTAGTGGTTTAGCACTTGAGCCACAGCTTCACTTCCACTTCTGGTAGTTTTAGTGGAGATAAGAATCTCACATACTTTCCTGTTCAGGCTTGCTTTGCATTGTAATCCTCAGATCTCAGCCTCCTGAGTAACTAGGATTACAGGCCTGAGCCACCAGTGCCTGGATTGATTTTCTTGCTCAATGCTGAAGTTCTACTAGTTGAGTTATGCCTCCAATCCAACTTTTTGCTAGTTAATTAGAGATGAAGTGTTATGGGCTTTTCTGCTTAGTCTAACTTTAATTGTGATCCTCTACATCTCAGCCTTCTGAATAGCTAGGACTATAGGGGTGAGCCACAGTCCCTAGTTGTGTTTGCTCTTTATATAATCCCACCTCTAGGGAGACTAAGGCAGGAAGATTGTCAAGTTTGAGGCTGTTAAGTTATACAGAAAGACTATATCTTTTTTTTTTTTGGTCGGTCATGGGGCTTGAACTCTGGGCCTGGGAGCTATCCCTGAGCCTCTTTGTGCTCAAGGCTAGCAATCCACCACTTGAGCCACAGTGCCACCTCCAGTTTTTTTTTAATTCTACCTTTTTTTTTTGTCAGTTGGAGGGCTTGAACTCTGGGCCTGGGCACTGTCCCTCAGCTCTTCAGCTCAAGGCTGGTGTACTACCACTTGAGCCACAGCATCACTTCCATTTTTTTTTCTGTTTATGTGGTACTGAGGAATCGAACCCAGGGCCTCATGCATACAAGTCAAGCACTCTACAACTGAGCCACCTTCCAGTTTTTGAGTGGATAATTGTAGATAAGAATCTCATGGGGACTTTTCTGCCTGGGTTGGCTTCAAACGGCAATCCTCAGATCTCAGCCTCCTGAGTAGCTGGGATTACAGGTGTGAGTTACTAGTGCATACAACTTTGAAAATGCTATACCTAGGAAGCATACACAGAATGTCCAAGTTACTTCTATTCTAAACACAGAATGTCCAAGTTACTTCTATTCTAACAAATTTGCCTCTTAATACCATATTACACTGAATATAAGACATCACAATTATTTTCTATTGCTAAGACACTACTGAATTAAACAATGACATAACATTGTTAAAATGTCCCTAATTTCAGATCTTAAGATTTTTTTTGAAAGATATACATCTAAGGTCTCACAGAATAAGGTGTGAAACTGAACTGATTTAAAATACAGCTTACAGATATGGAGCTAAGTTAACTTAGACCAAAAGGTCTTATTGCCTACTCAAAGAAAATAATTGTGCAAACATCCTGAGTTTTTATGGATGACTACTTGAACACTGCCTCTAGGGCTATGCAACACTTACACTGCAATCCTGTGTCAAGTTCAAAAGCATGAATGATTCCCAATAGCTCTTCAACAAGTTGACTAAATTTTGTGCTTTCTTGTAGACTCCTGAAATTAAATTGTTTCAGAGATGTACTTAGCAAGTGATTATTATCATTTTTTTTTTGGGGGGGGGGGTCGGTTCTGGGGCTCTGGGATAGAGCACTATCCCTCAGTTTCTTTTGCTCAAGGTTAGTGTTCTACCACTTGAACCACAATGCCACTTCTAGCTTTTTCTCTCTTTCTTTTTTTTTGGTGGGTTTTGGGGCTTGAACTCTGGGCCTGGCGCTGACCTTCAGGTCTTCAGCTCAAGGTGAGCACTCTACCACATGAGCTACAGTGCCACTTCCAACTTCTGGCTTTTTCTGAGTGTAGTTTATTGGAGATAAGATCCTCACAGATTTTCCTGCCTGAGCTGGCTTCAAACTGCCATTCTCAGATCTCAGATTCCTGAGTTGCTAGGATTATAGACATAAACCCCAAGTCCCTAGCCCCCAGCAATTATCACTCTTCTAAGGACATTAAAAGAAGGAAAGTACTCATGAATACTACCCCGAATTCATAATAGATATAAATCCACTGCCTAGAGAATATACTAGTCTTAACATGCAAGTCCTATTTAATCTCACACAGCTAGTTCTGCTTCCAAGAGATTTCCATCAAATGATGATTCTACTTCTTAAAAAACAGATACCAATGTCCAAAGAGAGATTTTGGTTTAGAAAAGTAGAAGAAAAATTTGTAATTCAATCTTTGCACTATGTTCCAGAATGCACACTATGATGAACCAGATATTGGAGAAATACTATTGATTGAGAGACAAAGCCAATGCCCTACACCTCCCTTATGCTGGGAGAGACACATAATAAGTAAATACATTGCATGTTGGTAAATAATTAGTATAAATAAAAGCAATGAAAGGCTGGTAATGTGGCTTAGTGGCAGAGTGCTTGCCTAGCATACATGAAGCCAAGGGTTTGATTCCTCAGTATAAACAGAAAAAGCCAGAAGTGGCACTGTTGCTCAACTGATAGAGCGCTAGCCTTGAGCAAAAAGTATCTCAGGGACAGTACCCAGGCCCTTGAGCCCCAGGACAAGAAAAAAAAAAAAAAAAAAGATTGTGATTTCTTTTTCTTGCCAGTCCTGGGGCTCAAACTCAGGCATTGTCCCTGCGCTTCTTTTGATCAAGGCTAGCACTCTACCACTTAAGCCACAGTGCCCCTTCCAGCTTGTTTCTGTGATGTGGCTGAGGAATCAAACCCAGGGCTTCATGCATGCTATGCAAGCACTCTACCACTAAGCTATATTCCCAGCCCAGATTCTGATCTCTTAAAATGTTTAGAAGTATTAGCAAAAGGCAATACAAGTCCATCTCCTCTTTGAGATACCAACCTTTCTCTTGATGGTGTGAGCCTATTTGTCTTAATAAACATTAGTATTGGGGCTGGGAAGGTGGCTCAGTGGTAGAGAGCTTGCCTTGCATGCCTGAGGCCCTGGGTTCGATTCCTCAGCACCACATAAGCAAAAAGAAAAAAAAGCCGGAAGTGGCTCTGTGGCTCAAGTGGTAGAGCGCTAGCCTTGAGCTGAAGAGCTGAGGGACAGTGCCCAGGCCCAGAGTTCAGGGCCCACGACCGAACCCAAAAAAAACAAAAAACACATTAGTATTGCTTTCACTACAAAAAACAAAACAAAACAAAACAATGGGGGGTACTGAAAAGAAATAACAAAGGATGGGAGGAAGGAAGGGAATGAAGAAAGGAGTGAGAAAGGATAAAATGAAGAAAGAGAGTAAACAAAGAGACAGAGGAAAGGATAAAGGAAGAAAAGGAAGGAAAAAAGGCAATGGTATGTTGTCATCTATGGCCATATCACTCTGAACATACCTGATCTCATCTGATGTAGGAAGCTAAGCAGAATTAGGCCTGGTTAGTATTGGATGGGAAAAAAACAGCATTATGTTGCTAATGTGGATGCTATAAAACTTTCAGGAGAATAACTTTAGAAATAATTTACTGTCTGCTAAGCACTTTTTTTTTTTTTGGTCGGTCATGGGGCTTAAACTCTGGGCCTGGGCACTGTCCCTGAGCTCTTCAGCTCAAGGAGAGCGCTCTACCACTTGAGCCACAGCACCACTTCCGGTTTTCTGGTAGCTAATTGAAGCTAAGAGTTTCGTGGACTTTCCTACCCAAGCTGGCTTTGAAACTTGATCCTCAAATCGCAGCCTTCTGAGTAGCTAGGATTATAGGTGTGAGCAACCCGTGCCCCACTGCTAAGCACATTTTTATACATTTTTCTGCTGATGAATTGTTTTACAGGAACACCAACAATGTTATCAAAAAATTTCTAGCCGAGCATCAGTGGCTCATGCCTGTAATCCTAGCTACTCAGGAGGCTGAGATCTGAGGATCATGGTTCAAAGCCAGCCCGGGCAGGAAAGTCCGTGAGACTCTTATCTCCAATTAACCACCAGAAAACCGGAAGTGGTGCTGTAGCTCAAGTGGTAGAGCACTAGCCTTGAACTGAAGAGCTGAAGGACAGCACTCAGGCCCAGAGTTCAAGCCCCACAACCAACAAAATAAAAAATAAAAATAAAATTCTACTTTTTTTGTACCAGTCCTAGGGTTTGAACTCAGGGTCTGAGCAATGTCCCTGAGATTTTTTTCTCCCAAGGCTAACTAGAGTTCTACCACTTGAGCCACAGTTTCATTTCTAGCTTTTTGGTGGTTAAGTCTCATGGACTTTCCTGCCTGGACTAGATTTGAACTGTGATCCTCAAATCTCAGCCTCCTGAGCAGCCAGGATTATAAGCAGGAACCATTGGTTCCCAGCAAGAATTTCTATCTTTTCCTGCCATTGTTGCTTCCAACCTCCCATGATTACACAAATTATATACCTTTTGGTAATGTCATTCTTACACAAAGGACACTGTGAAGGCCCTTTCTTCTGGTTGAGAAGTTTCAGCATACAAAATCTATAAATTATAAAAAAAGAGAAAAGAACAATTCAAGTTACTTTCTTCTGTAGGAAGAATACTCAAAGGTAAACAGCTATGAAAAGATCATCTCATAACTGCCTTTAAGAGTCACTTAAAAGGGAAGACAGGTGAATTATTATCAATGGTTTTTTTATTCTTGTTTTTTATAAGCAGAAAACCAAACTATGTAAGAAATGATCTCTAAAAATTCGGATGTACACACTTATGGCTTATTGTTATTACCAAATAAAATGTATTAGGTTAATATAGTATATCTAATGATATAATTATTTCAAAGCATAATCAGACATAAATGGCTAGGTAATTCATGTGAAATGATCATTAGCTTAAAACATAGTATAACAGCTGAGTTCCAGAGTATATCCTAGCCAGGCGCCGGTGGCTCACAACTGTAATCCTAGCTACTCAGGAGGCTGCGATCTGAGGATCAGGGTTCAAACCCAGCCTGGGCAGGAAAGTCCGTGAAACTCTTATCTCCAATAAACCACTAGAAAACCAGAAGTAGCCCTGTGGCTCAAGTGGTAGAGCACTCGCCTTAAGCTGAAGAGCTGAGGGACAGCGCCCAAGCCTAGAGTTCAAGCCCCATGACCGACCAAAACAAAAAAAAACAAAAAACAGAGTATATCCTAGTTACTTGGGAGGCTAAGATCTGAAGATCACAATTCAAGACCAATCCCAGGGGCTGGGAAGGTAGCTCTGTGGTAGAATGTTTCCCTTGCATGCACGAGGCCCTGGGTTCGATTCCTCAGCACCACATAAGCAAAAAGAAAAAAGCCAGAAGTGGCGCTGTGGCTCAAGTGGTAGAGCGCTAGCCTTGAGCTGAAGAGCTGAGGGACAGCGCCCAGGCCTAGAGTTCAGGCCCACAACTGGACCTGCCCCCCCCCCCAAAAAAAAGACCAATCCCAACCAAAAAGTTTGAGTTTCTATGTCCAATTAACCAGCAAAATGCTACACTGCTGGCATAGTTCAAGGGGTAGGGCATCAGCAATAAGCAATCAAATTGCGAGAGTGAAACATTGAATTCAAGCTCTGATAGCAATACACACACAGACACACACAGACACACAGACACACAGACACAGACACACACACACACACACACACACACACACACTCATGGGAATGAAACACATAACTCAAAATCTCAGCACCTGAGGCCAGGTTGTTGTTCAATGTTATAGTTCTTGTCTAGCTTGCGTAATTCTCTGGGTTTAATCCCCAGAACGGCAAATAAGAATACTAATAAAACTTAGCACTTCCTACAAAACTACAGTAATTCAGACAGTGTGATATTGGCACAAGGACAGACATATACATCAATTGAACAAAATTAAGAGTCTATAAGAACTAGGAAAGTTGCTGGGCACTGGTGGCTCATGCCTTCAATCATAGCTACTCAAGAGGCTGAGATTTGAGGACTACAATTCCAAGCCAGCCTGTGAGACTCTTTGATGTAAAGTGACTTAACCTAAAGCACTCTCTCCCCTCCCCTCCCCCCCCCCTAGCCATATCTTAGAACTGTCCTTGGATGCAGACCCTGCTGAATCATCTCTCCTCCCCATCCCCCTGAACAAACATACCCTAAGGTTTTGGAGACTAGAGCCTGAGACCAGCGCCCTGTCTGACGCTGATGCACAGAGGCTATTGAGACCTTGAAACTCCTCAGTCAAAATAACATTGCTCACACACCCACCTCCATCTCACCCTACTTCCATCGGCCTCCCCAGCCCCGTACCAACTTCACTCTTTTCTTGCTAATATTTAAAGAGCCCTAGTTGTAAGAGGGAGGGGGGGGCACGCCATTTCTCCTTCAGGCATGCTGAAGGAGACTTTGGCTGCCCTTCCCAGGGTTCATTCCTAAATAAAGCCTCTGTGTGTGGGTGGAGGGGGGAGGTGAAGGGGGGGGGCTGAACTCTGGGCCTGGGCGCTATCCCTCAGCTCTTCAGCTCAAGGTTTGTGTTCTACCATTTGAGCAACAGCACCACTTCCGGCCTTTTCTGCTTATGTGGTGCTGAGGAATCGAACCCAGGGCGCCTCATACATGCAAGGCAAGCACTCTACCACTGAGCCACCTCCCAGCCCCCTGTTTTTTTTTTTTTTTTTTTTTTTAATGGTCCGGTTGTGGGGCCTGAACTCTGGGCCTGGGCACTGTCCCTCAGCTCTTCAGCTCAAGGCTAGCGCTCTACCACTTGTGCCACAGCGCCACTTCTGGCTTTTTTTTTTTTTCTTTTTTTTGCTTATGTGGTGCTAGAGGAATCGAACCCAGGGCCTCATGCATTGCAAGGCAAGCGCTCTACCACTGAGCCACCTTCCCAGCCCCCCTTGTTGGTTTTTTGAGTTCACTTTTTGCCTTTTATTCTGATACTGTCATGACTCAGTTTCCTTATACTCATCTCCAATAATCTTTTCAGAGGCCAGAAGTGATGCTGTAGCTCAAGTGATAGAGTAGTAGCTTTTAACTAAAGAAGGTCAGCTTTTAACTAAAGAAGGTCAGGGACAGCGGACAGCACCCAGGCCGAGTTCAAGCCCCAGGACTTGCCAAAAAAAAAAAGAACTGAGAAAGTGGCGCAAGTAGACTTGTCTAACAAGCATAAGGCCTTGAGTTTAAGCCCATATACAGTATAATTTTGGGATCCATGAGTATATTATTACAAGGAGACCACTTCTTAAGGAAAACCTACAAATGCTCAAGACACAGAATTCAGTACTATATTGCAGATGCTCAATTCATTTCTCCATAATGCTGCCCAACTCCCACTAAAGACATGCTGCCCCTGTCATCAAATCTAAAATTTTCACTTCACCACTTAAACATAATAACTTGTAGTTTTCTTTTTTGGGAATAGGCAAACACTTAGCAGATCACAGGATAATTTAAACAAAACTGAACATAACATGGGAATGAGAGCTTCTCTGTGCCCACTGAGCTTTGTAGTATATGCAAAGCAATTCAAATCTTTTGCTTTTGAGTAAGAGTCATTGTTTTTTTAACCATAATGCTCAAAACCACATGCAATAAATCTGCAAATAAGGTGGGCTTATTATACTATCAAAAAGAAAATAAGAAGAGTCTATAAATAAATTCATGCATATATTTATGATCAATGAATTTTCAAAAATGATACCAAGACAATTAAATGAGAAAATAATTATTTTTTTGGTTGGTTGTGGGTCCTGAACTCTGGGCCTAAGTACTGTCCCTCAGCTCAAGGCCAGTGCTCTACCACTTGAGTCACAGCATGACTTCCAGCTTTTTTTTTTTTTTGCTTATGTGGTGCTGAGGAATTGATCCCAGGGCCTCATGCATGCAAGGCAAGCACTTATCACTGAGCCACCTTCCCAGCCCTGAGAAAATAATTTTTAAAACCAAATGGTAAGCTGAGTACCAGTGGCTCATGCCCGTAATCTTAGCTATTCAGGAGGCTGAAATCTGAGGATCATGGTTCAAAGTCAGCTGGAGCAGGAAAGTCTGTGAGACTCTTATCTCCACTTAACCATCTAAAAGCCAGAGTGGCACTGTGGCCCAAAAGTGTGGCTCAAAAGCTCACTAGCCTTGACCAATAAATGCTCAGGGACAGTGCAAAGGCACTGAGTTCAAATTTATTACTGACAAAAAAGTTGTTTCTGGAAAAACTGGACATCCACATAAAAGAATACCATGAAGACTATCTCAGATCACAAACAAAAATGAACTCAAGTGAATCACAGCCTAGCAGATAGTCATAGTGATGATAATTGTGGGCAGTGATTCACTTATACAAACAGTATCTGTCACCTATCTAATACTGTTCTAGGGGGGTGGGAAGGTGGCTCAGGGGTAGAGTGCTTGCCTTGCATGCATGAGGCCATGGGTTTGATTTCTTAGCACCACATATGCAGAAAAAGCTGGAAGTGGGCTGGGAAGGTGGCTCAGTGGTAGAGTGCTTGCCTTGCAGGCATGAGGCCCTGGGTTCGATTCCTCAGCACCACATAAGCAGAAAAAGCTAGAAGTGGTGCTATAGCTCAAGTGGTAGAGCGCTAGCCTTGAGCTGAAGAGCTGAGGGACAGTGCCCAGGCCTAGAGTTCAGGCACCATGACTGCCAAAAAAAAAAAAAAAAGCTGGAAGTGGCACTGTGGCTCAAGTGGTAGAGTGCTAGCCTTAAGCTAAGAGCTAAGGGACAAGCGCCCAGGACCAGAGTTCAGCCCCCACGACCGACAGGAAAAAAAACTGTTCTAAATGTGAGAGATTCAGTACAAAAGGCAAATATCATTTTTAAGGACATAATACTCTAGAGAGGGAGTGACTGGGTAGGGAATAAATAGCAGACACTGATATTGAAGAGAGACAGGAAAGAAAAGGTCAAAGTTACTGAAAAGTCAGCACATCTGGAGAACATTTTTACCAGCCAGATTGTTTAAAATGCATTGCTCTCTCTTTTCTTTTTTCTTTAGGATGGTAATGGAGCTTAAACTCAGGGCTTTGGCTTTCTGCCCCTGAGCTCTTTTGCTCAAGGCTAGCACTTAAAACATTTATTTTTTATTTTTATTTTTTGCCGGTCATGGGGCCTGAACTCTGGGCCTGGGCGCTGTCCCTCAGCTCTTCAGCTCAAGGCTAGCGCTCTACCACTGGAGCCACAGCGCCACTTCCAGCTTTTTCTGTTTATGTGATGCTGAGGAATCGAACCCAGGGCCTCATGCTTGCAAGGCATGCACTCTACCACTGAGCTACCTTCCCAGCCCGCACTTAAAACATTTTGACCCACAGTACCACTTCCAGTTTTCTGGTGGTTAATTGGAGATAAGAGTCCCATGGATGCCCAGGTTGGCTTCAAACAGATCTCAGCCTCCAGTGGTACCCAGCTCTCTTCTCTTCTCTCTCTCTTTTTGTTGGTCATGGGCTTGAACTCTGGGCCTGGACACTGTCCCTAAGCTCTTCAGCTTAAGGCTAGCACTCTACCACCTGAGCCACAGCACCACTTCCAGTTTTCTGGAAGTTAACTGAAGAGTCTCCTGGACTTTCCTACCCAGGCTGGCTTTGAACCTCGATCCTCAGATCTCAGCCTCCTGAGAATTACAGGTATGAGCCACCGGTGCCCAGCTTCTTTTTCATTTTTATTTTTGCAGTGTTGGAGATGAAAATCAAGCTAGGCAAGCACTCTACTCAAAGCTACGTAACTAGATGACATATTATGCTTTTTTTTTTTTTTTTTTTGGTCAGTCCTGGGTCTTGAACTCAGGGCCTAAGCACTGTCCCTGGGTTTTTGTGCTCAAGGCTAGTGCTCTGCCACTTTGAGCCACAGCTCCACTTCTGGTTTTTATGCGGTTAATAGGAAATAATAGTCTCACTGCATTTCCTGCCTGGGCTGGCTTTCTCAATCCTCAGATCTCAGCCTCCTTAGCCATCATAACCTAGCTAATATTATCACCTTCTATTTCCTTCCTTCCTTCCTTCCTTCCTTGCACTTCTCTTCCTTTTTTCTGTTTTTGTTTTTGCCAGTCCTGGGGCTTGAATTTAGGGCTTGGGCACTGTCCCTGAGCTTTTTTGTTCAGAGCTAGCACTCTAGCACTTCAGCCACAATTCCACTTCCATCTTTTTGGCAGTTAACTGGAGTTAAACATCTCAAGGACTCTCCTGCTCAGGCTGATTTTCCTGACTTCAGCCTCCAAAGTAGTTAAGATTATAGGTGTGAGCAACCTAGCTATTTGCTATATATGTACATTTTGTGTGTGTGTGTGTGTGTGTGTGTGTGTGTGTGTGTGTGTGAGAGAGAGAGAGAGAGAGAGTGAGGGGGGCTAGTACTGGGCTTGAACTCTGTACCTGGGTGCTGTCCCTCAGCTCTTCAGCTCAAGGCTAGCACTCTACCACCTGAGCCATAGTGCCACTTCTGGGTTTTTTGTGCGGAGATCTGAGGATTGTGGTTCAAAGCCAGCCTGGGCAGGAAAGTCCACGAGACTCTTATCTCCAAGTAACCATCAGAAAACTGAAAAGTGAGGGGTTGAGAATATGGCTTACTGATAGAGTGCTTTCCTAGCATGCATGAAGCCTAGGGTTCAATTCCTCAGTACCACATAAACAGAAAAAGCTGGAAGTAGCGCCGTGGCTCAAGTAGTAGAGTGCTAATATTGAGCAAAAGAAGTTCAGGGACAGTACCCAGGCACTGAGTTCAAGCACCAGGATTGGCAAAAAAAAAAAAAAGAAAACTGAAAGTGACACTGTGGTTCAAAGTGGTAGAGCACTAGCCTTGAACACAAAAGCTCAGGGATAGAGCCCAGGCGCTGAGTCCAAGCCCTATGACCAACAGAAGAAAACAAAACAAGACAGAAAGACACTTAAATATGTAAATATAAATACAGTCAAAGTATGCAGGAGGATTGGTTCCAAAATTGTCCATGAATATACAAAAATCTTCAGCTGCTCAAGCCCCTTATATGAAAAGGTACAATATTAACATGTAAGTATAATCTCCTATACACTTTAAATAATCTCTACATTATTTATAATATAATGTAAATGATGTGTAAGTAGTTATTGCTCAAAATTTCTTGGACAATGAAAAGAACATTCAGTGCAGGTACAATTTTTTTTTTTTTGGGTCCAGTTGTGGGTCCTGAACTCTGGGTCTGGACACTGTCCCTCAGCTCTTCAGCTCAAGGCTAGCGCTCTACCACTTGAGCCACAGCGCCACTTCCAGCTTTTTTCTTTTTGCTTATGTGGTGCTGAGGAATCGAACCCAGGGCCTCAGGCATGCAAGGCAAGTGCTCTACCACTAAGCCACCTTCCCAGCCCAGGTACAATTTTTTTTACAGACTATTTTCACCCATGGTTAGTTGACTCTATGGGTAGAGAACCCAAAGATATGGAGGACAGAATGTATAATTTGAACAATTTGTATGAGTATATTTCAGCATAAATATGAACTAATACCAGATTCTCTCCTCTCTTTGCCAAGGAGGATCACAAAACAGACTAACACTGAACTTTAAGAGGGGGAGAGCAGGAGGGCATGCAGAAATTAACAGAAAGAAGGAACTGACAAAGTTGAAATACAATTTGTTTATTTCACAATCCCTTGTAGTCTACTTTCACCCTTGGACACAAATACCAAACAGCCGTTCAAAGTGTTCCTAGGTCTCTCTGTTTAAGTAAATAGATAAGCTATGTCAATACTTTACTAAGAAAAACTATGGGTAGAAGTGGAGCTGTGGTTCAAACAATAGAGTGCTAGCCTTGAGCACAAAAGCTATGGGACAGTGGCCAGGCACCAGGACTGGCACACACATACAAAAAACAAAAACAAAAATAAAAACTATGGCTACAGCCAATTTACAATGACTATCAGTACTGTGAACACATGAATAGAGTGGGGCTTGAACTCTGAGCCTGGGCGCTGTGCCTGAGCTCTTCAGCTCAAGGCAAGCACTCTACCACTTGGGCCATATCACCAATTCCAGTTTTCTGGTAGTTAATTGGAGATAAGAGTCTCACAGACTTTCCTATCTGGGCTGCCTTTGAACCACAATCCTTAGATCTCAGCCTCCTGAGTAACTAGGATTGTAGGCATGAGCCACTGGCACCCCAGCGGACTTTTTTTTTCTTCTAGTATTGATGTTCTTTGAGCTTAGGGCTTCACACTTACTAGGCAGGTACTCCACCACTTGAGCCATGCCTCTAGCCCTTTTAGTTCTGCATATTTTTACTAGGGTCTCATATTTTGTCCAGGCCAGCCTGATATCCTGTTTATACTTCTTCCCCATAGTTAGGATGACAAATGTGTACCATCATATCAAGATTTTTCTATTGAAATAGGGTCTTGAGAACTTTTTGCGGGCTGGGAAGGTGGCTCAGTGGTAGAGCGCTTGCCTTGCATGCATGAGGCCCTGGGTTCGATTCCTCAGCACCACATAAGCACAAAGAAAAAAGCCGGAAGTGGTGTTGTGGCTCAAGTGGTTGAGCGCTAGCCTTGAGCTGAAGAGCTCAGGGACAGCGCCCAGGCCCAGAGTTCAGGCCTCACGACCGGACCCCCCCCAAAAAAAAAAAAAGAGAACTTTTTGCCCAGGCCAGCCTGAAAAACATGATTGAATATCTACCTCTTAAGTAGTTAGGATTACAAGTGTGAGCCACCAGGGAGAGCTGGATTTTCTGTTGTCACTTAATTGAAGAACTTGACCTAAAGTTTCTGTAAAATTAGGTGTTTTTTGTGTTGTAAACAACAAGCACATGTAAAATGGAAAGACTTGGAAAAAATTATATTAAGTGAAGTAAGCCAGGCCCAAAGAAACATAGGTCCCATGGTTTCCCTTATTTGCAATATCTAGTATATGTCTGAGTCAAGCAGAAAAGGTCAGATAAGGTGATGTTAGGGAAATGAACCCTAAGATATGTACTCAAATGTTTTTTTTCTTTCATGCGATTGTTTCCAACACATTTATAAGATTATTTCTTTGTTGCTTTGTATGTCCTTCCCCCACAGTATAACCCCTGCTTTCACTGTATTTGATGTCGGTATAATTTGTGGAGGGGAAGGGGGAAACAAATCGTTTAAATAGAGATACAGGTGGACCCATTGCAACAATGAGATGTACAAGTCGTTATGTCGAAAACGAACTTTACAACTTTGGTGGGGGGGGGAGCGGGGAGGATGGGAAGGGATGGGAAGGGGAAACAAAGGAGGAGGCTACAATGCTTGATAAGAAATGTACTCATTATCTTGCCCATGTAATTGTAACCCCTCTGTACAGTATTTTCACAATTAAAAAAAATAAATAAATAAAGCCCCTTAAATTCAAAAAAGAAAAGAAAAGAAAACAACAAGCACATATGTGGCTTAGCAATATAGTAGGGCACCTTAATAAGTAAGTAGTCCTGAGTTTAAACTCCAGTACTGTCCCTCCCCCTCAAAACCCAAAGCACAAAAGCTAATAATAATGAAGGCACAAAAAGTATTCAAACCTACCTGCAAAATATGTGGTCACACTTTGTGGAAACAGGTTCTTTGATTAATTCCAGACTAGAAGAGAAGAGAAAAAAATTAGAGAAAATAAGATCAAATAATTCATTTAATTCAATTTTATTTAATTCATTCAATTTTTTTTTTTTGGTTGGTTGTGGGGCTTGAACTCTGGGCTTGGGCACACTGTCCCTCAGCTCTTCAGCTCAAGGCTAGTGCTCTGCCACTTGAGCCACAGCGCCACTTCCAGTTTTCTGGTGGTTAAGTGGAGATAAGAGTCTTATGGACTTTCCTGCCTGGCCTGGCTTTGAACTATGATCCTCAGATCTCAACCTCCTGAGTAGCTAGGATTACAGGCATGAGCTATTGGTGCCTGGCTATAAAGTTCAACTTTGAAGTTTACTGAATACTTATCAAATGTCTGCTGAGCAAAGCACTTAGTGACAAGCACTTGTACAAGGTCCTCCTGGGTTTTATCCTCTGTACCTCCCAAAAAGTCAAAGCTGATTAAATGAAATATTAAATGGAAGATTCCAGAAAAAAAGCAATATAAGTTTTTAATTGTAGGCCATTCTGAGAATGTGATAAAACCTCACCCCATACCTCCCAAAACATGAATCACTCCTTAGTACAATATATCCAAGTTGTATTCATTATCTGTCTGTTAGTCATTTAGCAGAGGTTTGGGCTATCAAATCAAACATTAGGGTAGAAGCACTAGTAGTCAAGTAACCTCTATTTTACTTAATATGCTCACAAAGCACAAGAATAGTGGTGCTTCCTGTAAGTGAAAGGGTGAAAGTCCATCACAGGTAAACATGCATAGGAAAAAAACCAGCATATAGAGTTCAGAACTATCTGTGCTTTCAGAAATCCACTGGATCATCCACTGGGGAGCTTGGCATGTATCCCCCAGGGATATGGAGAAAGGTTACTGTATATTTCTTTTTGATTTCCTCAAAGTAGTTTTTTATGGGACTGTCTTTTTATGGAAATTAATAGAAAAGATTTAAAGGACTTATATGGATAAAATCGTAAAATGAACTGTATGTACTATCATCTACTTCCATCAACTAGCCATAAATGGCAAATCTTGTTTCATCCAACCTAACCCATCTTAATTATTTATTTGTTTGTTTGTTTATTGTCAGTCACAGTGCTTGAACTCAGTCCTGGGCACTGTCCCTGAGCTCTTTTGTTCATGCGAATGTTCTAACTTTGAGCCACAATGCCACTTCCAATTTCTGAGTAGTAAATTGGAGATAAAAGACTATTATCTTGGGCTGGGAAGTTGGCTCAGTGGTAGAGCTCTTGCCTTGCATGCCTAAGGCCCTGGGTTCGATTCCTCAGCACCACATAAGCAAAAAGAAAAAAGCTGGAAGTGGCGCTGTGGCTCAAGTGGTAGAGTGCTAGCCTTGAGCTGAAGAGCTGAGGGACAGCACTCAGGCCCAGAGTTCAGGCCCCAGGACTGGACACCCCTCCAAAAAAAAAAAAAAAAAGACTATTATTTTATTTATTTGTTTTGTCGGTCATGGGGCTTGACCTCTGGGCCTGGGCACTGTCCCCCAGCTCTTCAGCTTGAGGCAAGCGCTCTACCACTTGAGCCACAGCGCCATTTCTGGCTTTTTCTGCTTATGTGGTGCTGAGGAATCGAACCTAGGGCCTCATGCATGCAAGACAAGCACTCTACCACTGAGCCACCTTCCCAGCCCTTATTACTTTATTTTAAAATAAATCTCTTATTATTTCATCAGTCATGGGGCTTGAACTCTCCGCCTGGGCACTATTTCTGAGCTTAGCTCAAGGCGAGCATTCTACCACTTGAGCCACAGTGCCATTTCCACTTTTTGGTGGTTAATTGGAGGTAAGAGTAGGACTCTCCTGCCCTGGCTGCCTTTGAACTGTAATTCTCAGATCTCAGCCTCCTGAGTAGCTAGGATTATAGGCATGAGCCACCAGCGCTCAGCTATAAAATATTTTAACTATGGCCGGGCGTCGGTGGCTCATGCCTGTAATCCTAGCTACTCAGGAGGCTGAGATCTGAGGATCATGGTTCAAAGCCAGCCCAGGCAGGAAAGTCCGTGAGACTCTTTTTTTTTTTTTTTTTGGGTCCGGTCGTGGGCCCTGAACTCTGGGCCTGGGCACTGTCCCTCAGCTCTTCAGCTCAAGGCTAGCGCTCTACCACTTGAGCCACAGCGCCACTTCCGGCTTTTTTCTTTTTGCTTATGTGGTTCTGAGGAATCGAACCCAGGGCCTTGAGCATGCAAGCCAAGCGCTCTACCACTGAGCCACCTTCCCAGCCTCCGTGAGACTCTTATTTCCAATTAACCACCAGAAAACCAGAAGTGGTGCTGTAGCTCAAGTGGTAGAGAGCTAGCCTTGAACTGAAGAGCTGAAGGACAGCACTCAGGCCCAGAGTTCAAGCCCCACAACCAACAAAATAAAAAAATAAAATTAAATTAAATATTTTAACTATGTATATTCTTAAAAGATAATTTTTAAAGTATAACAATGAAGCTATTATTCCTAAAACAAACTTTCTTAAAATTTTCAATCTGCCACATTTTGGGCCATAAAAATTACATTAAATAGTTAAGATATTTAAATCAAGATCCAATTTGACATGTCTCAAATTTCCTCTCCTGCTTTCCCTTTTTATTTTTATAAAACTAGATTGCCACGGGGTTGGGAAGTTGGCTCAGTGGTAGAGTGCTTGCCTTGCATGCATGAGGCCCTGGGTTCGAGTCCTCAGCACTACATAAGCAGAAAAAAGGCAGAAGTAGTGCTGTGGCTCAAGTGTTAGGGCCTTAGCCTTGAGCTAAAGAGCTGAGGGACAGCCCCCAGGCCCAGAGTTCAGCCCCCACAACTGGCAAAAAAAACCCAAAAAACTAGATTTCTAGGCACTGGTGGCTCATGCTTGTAATCCTAGCTACTCAAGGAGGCTGAGGTCTGAAGAGGGCAGTTCAAAGCCAGCTGGGCAGGAAAGTCCATGAGACTCTTCTCTCCAACATACCACTTCGAGAAAAACTGGAAGTGGAGCTGTGGCTCAAAGTGGTAGAGTGCTAACCTTAAGTGAAAGAGCTCAGGACAGGGCCCAGGCTCTGAGTTTAAGCCGCACATTGATAAGAAATGTACTCATTATCTTGCTCATGTAATTGTAACCCCTCTGAACAGTATTTTCCACAATAAAAAAAAGAGAAAAAAAAGAAAAAAGGAAAAAACTAGATCATGTGACTAGCAGAACTTGTGACACTTTGGATTTTCCCTATTCTAACCCCATCGTGTTGTTTAATTTGTCCTATAATCCCTGTATTTTCTGAAAATTAGACTTACAGGCTTAATCAAATTTAGGTTCAATTTTTTTGGCAAAAATATTTCATTAGTTGGTACTATATACTTTTACAACATTGATTTCAGATTACTTTGCAAAATCAGTGTAAATTTTATTAAAAGAAATCTCCATCTCAGTATCTGTGCATCCACAAAATCCCAAGGACTTCCTGAGATATACTCATTTAGTAGTAAATACTTACTGAGCATCTACATGCAGGCAGTTTTTGCATACTAATGTATTTCCAAAAGAAAGCCTGCCTTCATTGAGTAAGTATTTTGGATGTAGTAAATAGGAGAAAAAGAAGAATAGTGATTTAAAAAAAAAAAAAGCTAGGCACTGGTGGTTCACTCCTGTAATCCTAGAGCTGAGGAGGTTGAACTCTGAAGATCGCAATTTGAAGCCAACCTGGGCAGGAAAATCCATGAGACTTACATCTCCAATTAACCTACAAAAAAGCCAGAAGTAGAGTTCTGGCTGAAGTGGTAGAGGGCTATTCTTAAGCAAAAAAAAATCTCAGGGACAGTGCCCAGGTCCTGAGCTCAAGTCTCATGAACAGCATGCATGCATGTGTGCGCGTGCGCGCGCGCACACACACACACACACACACACACACACACACACACACACGTGCACATAAACACACAAAGAAAAGAAAGAAAAGAAGAAAGCAGATAGAAGGGTCATGGAATACAATGAGTGTGTTCTGAATGTGAGCTTTAGAAACAGATTCTGGGTGGAAAAGCCCAAGCAGGATATCAATGAAGAGGTAACCTAGCAGTGTGAAAGGAATGTAGTTTTGTCATTACATGTGTAACTGCTTAGAAAAGGTTCACAAGAAAAGCTGGTGAACAATAACCTTGTTGTAAAGGGTTTCATAATAAAACTCTTATAACCATGGGATTTCTGACGCAGTACAGGGGCAATGAAAAGAAAAACACTAGACTAAGTCAAAAGGCTGAGTTTCCACTACCAACTCTTTATTAGCAGAGTACCTATTCAGGCTAAGCATTCTACTTCAGCTTTCTTCAGTCTCTCACCTGGCAGTTATTATGAGAATAAAAACAATCCCAACAAAGAGAATTCCCATTTGTGACTAAATCACTATTTGAGACATGCTAGAGATCAAAGAAATTCTTAGTAAAAGAAAAATTGGATTTAGCTCAGATACCAGATGGCTTGCTTTCTCACCACTGACTCAATTCCGAAATAATTATATTTCAGTATGGTAATTATAATCTAAGCTATACAAACACATTGTAAACACAAACGAACAGATTTAAACTACAATATGTAAAGAGGTGCCTGGCATTGGTGGCTCATTGCTGTTATCCTACCTTCTCTGGCCCTAAATTGAAGCCCCAGGATCGGCATACACACGCATATACACACATGCATATACATACACACACACACAATAAAAAGGTAATGACTATTGAAAGAAGAGCTTCAAGATGGACCAGAAATGAAAAGAATAAAACAAATTATAATGTTCCCTCCTCTAGGTACCGGTAAGAGTAAGTATTTACTATAAAAGTAACTCCAGAGCCAGGTGCCAGTGGCTCACACTTGTAATCCTCCTAGCTACTTAGAAGGCTGAGACTTGAGGATCCAGTTCAATGCCAGTCTGGGCAGCAAAGTCTGTGAGACTCTTATCTCCAATTAACCACCAGAAAACCAGAAGTGGTGCTGTGGCTCAAGTGGTAGAGTAGTCATCTTGAACTGAAGAGCTCAGAAACAGCGCTCAGGCCCAGAGTTGGAGCCCCACAACAAAAACAACAACAACAAAAAGTTGTGTTGTATTTATATGTGTGTTGGTCCTGGGACTTGACCTCAGGGCCTAGTAATCTCACCTCAGCTTTTTGGCTTGTTGTGATTCAAAGCCAGACCAGGTAGAAAAGTCTGTGAGACTCTTATCTCCAATTAACCACCAGAAAACCAGAAGTGGAGCTGTGGCTCCAAATGATAAAGAGTGCTAGCCTTGAGAGAAACAGCTCATCGACAGCTTCCAGGCCCTGAGTTCAAACCCCATAACTGACTCACACACACACACACACACACACACACAAAAGTGAAACTTGGGCACTAGTGGTGGCACATCCCTGTAATCCTGCTACTCAAGAGACTGAGATCTGAGGATTATGGTTAAAAGCCAGCCTAGACAGAAAAGTCTGTGAGATTCTTTTTTTTTTTTTTTTTTTGGGTCTGGTCATGGGGCCTGAACTCTGGGTCTGGGCGCTGTCCCTCAGCTCTTCAGCTCAAGGCTAGCGCTCTACCACTTGAGCCACAGCGCCACCTCTGGCTTTTTTCTTTTTTCTTATGTGGTGCTGAGGAATCGAACCCAGGGCCTCATGCATGCAAGGCAAGCGCTCTACCACTGAGCCATCTTCCCAGCCCCGAAGGTTTTTCTTTCTTTCTTTTATTTATCAGTCATAGGGTATGAACTCTGGGCCTGGGCGCTGTCCCTCAGCTCCTCAGCTCAAGGTTAGAGCTCTACCACTTGAGCCACAGCACCACTTCTGGCTTTTTCTGCTTATGTGGTACTGAGGAATCGAACCTAGGGCCTCATGCATGCAAGACAGGCACTCTACCACTGAGCCACTTTCCCAGCCTGTCTGTGAGACTCTTATCTCCAATTACTACAAAAAGCTGGAACTAGAGGTGTGGATCAAGCAGTAGAGAGCTAGCCTTGATCACTAAAAGCTCAAGGACAGCACCTAGACCCAGAGTTCAAGCTCTACAAATGGCAAAAAAAAAAAAAAAAAGAAAGAAAAAGAAAAGAAAAAAGAAAGAAAGAGCTAGTTTAAAGCCCAATACTTGGGTAAGAGGATTAAAGATTTGAGACAACTGTCTCAAAGAAAGAAAAAGAAAAAGGAATGTAAGATATTAAATCAACAGTTGATTGAAAATTTAAAAACACCAACTTGGCAGTAGCTTTCATTTTTACATCTTTAAGTATCAAATGTTTTTAATTGATGGTTTAATTTGCCAGAATGAGAAAGAACATTACGTTTTTATGACAATCTCTTGGGAATGTAAGATAAATGGACCCAAATGACATAGTATAGAAGACGTTATGATCACTCTTTATAATTATCTTCAGTAAATCTTATGCTTTTCAAAAGCAATCTTTCCTAGTGTTATTTTTTGCTTCCCTGGTTCTGATATTTCATAAATTAGGATGTAAATCTCTTTTAGCTCTTTTGTTTTTATTTAGCTGAAATGTTGAGGGATAGGGAAAAGATGATTACTTATAAATTTGTATCTCTGAGAACACAATTTGCATTTTCCTTCATCTTATCAGCTTGACTCTGTATGTGAAAAACAACTTTCACAAAGGCAAATTTACTCTTCACTGAGGCTATTTCTCAACTGTTGCCAAGTAATAACTATCATCATATTAAAACAAAAATAGGGTTGGGTATAGTTTCATGTTAAGCACATACTTAACATACAAGAGGCTCTGGGTTCAATGAATAATAAACTATAAAAGGAACTATAAAGAAACAATTGAGTTTACCATTAATTTAGTATATTAAGCGTTATTATGTCTTAGGTACTAAAGGTAACAAAAACTTCCATCTGTATGAAGTTTATATTCTGTGAGGATGGAGAAAAAGGATGAACAAATTGTTAGTCAGATAGTATCAAATATAACAGAGAACACTAAAGCTGAAAAACAGCACAAGGAATGTTGCAACTGAAAATAGTATCTGAAGACATCTCTTTGAAGGGTAGTATTTGAATCAAAATTTTCAAAGGATGTACTTAATGACTATTAAAATAGAAGAAGAGAAGGCACTAATTCTAATGTTCCTTTCTAACTTTTCACCAAGATATTCTCACATATGGATTTCCATTTATTTTGTATATTTTAGTGAAACTGTAAAGATCATCTAATGACTCTTTGGGGTTCTTAACCTTCATTGTACTCTAGACTCCCTTCTTAGAGCCATTTGTTCATTCATTCATTGTGCTATGGATTAAACTCAGGGCCTAAAGTATGCTAGTGCTCTACTACTGAACTATAGCCTTAATCCTGAGATATGCATTTAAATATATATTTTTTTGGGGGGGGTCTGGTCATGGGGCCTGAACTCTGGGCCTGGGTGCTGTCCCTCAGCTCTTTAGCTCAAGGCTAGCGCTCTACCACTTGAGCCACAGCACCACTTCCGGCTTTTTTCTTTTTGCTTATGTGGTGCTGAGGAATCCAACCCAGGGTCTCATGCATGCAAGGCAAGCACTCTACCACTGAGCCACCTTCCCAGCCCCATATATATATATTTTTTAATAACAAACTAATCCCCAAGCTGCCCAGTGGTGGCTCATGCCTATAATCCTAGCTACTGAGAAGGTTGAGATCTGAAGATTGTGGTTCAAAGCCAGCCTAGGCAGACAAATCTCCAAATAACTAGCAAAAAGGTGAAAGTGAGGGTTGTGGCTCAAGTGGTAGAGAGAGCACCACCTGTGAACGGAAAAAGCCAAGCAAGAGCAAGAGGCCCCAAGTTAAGCCCAGAACTGGGACATACACAAAAACAAAATACTTAATTCCTAAGGGTCTTGGAGGGTCTATAAATTAAATGTCAAAACATAGATATGATTTGTTTTTGTTTTGCAGGGTGTTGGTCTAAGGACTTGAACTTAAGGCCTGGGCACTGGTCCTGAGTGGTTTTGTAGCACAAGGTTAGTGTTCTACCACTTGAGCCACTCCTCCACTTCCAGGTTTGTTTGGTGCTTAATTGGAGATAAAGAGTCTCATGGCAGCCGGGCGCTGGTGGCTCACGCCTGTAATCCTAGCTACTCAGGAGGCTGAGATCTGAGAATCGCGGTTCAAAGCCAGCCCGGGCAGGAGAGACCCTGAGACTCCTATCTCCAATAAACCACCAGAAAACCGGAAGTGGCGCTGTAGCTCAAGTGGTAGAGCGCTCGCCTTGAGCTTAAAAGCTGAGGGACAGCGCCCAGGCCCAGAGTTCAAGCCCCACGACCGACAAAAAAAAAAAAGAGTCTCATGGCCTTTCTGGCTGGCTAGCTTTGAACTGTGATCCTCAGATCTCAGCTTCCTCAGTAGCTAGAATTACAGGCATGAGACACTGGTGTCCAGCTCAAAGTAGTTTTAGAATTGAAAGAAAAGCCTAAATGACACTCAATTTAAATCAGACTTCTGTCCCAATCCAGACAATTGGTGGACTGGAAAAGAAACTCTGTGTGCTAAAGAAGGATGAAAGGAGGAAGGAGAGTAAAAGGAGTAGTTTTCTATATTTTTAAATCTCTTTGGTTAAAATTTTAGCAATCTGACCTTAAGATTTACTGTATATTTTTCTCCTTAGTATGTAATGTCAACTCTATTCATTTGTTTAAACAATAAGCAAGAATCCCAAATTAATAAATTATTGTGTTGACTTACCATATTGGACACTCTAAGATTTTCTGCATAGCATTAAGGACATGCTGTACTTCTTCAATTTGAGCTAAAGACGAATCCATTTCTTTCTGTTCCAACTTTAACACATAAAATTTAAAGTACATGTAAACAGACTGCTTTAAAAAGTTTTAAACTAAGCAGGTTATCTACTATTCCTAAATAAGAGACAGTTAAGATTGGAGTTCTTTAGAATTATACCAACCTCAGAACTGACAATATCATTTTTTTTTAAAAGAAAATTCTAGCCAGGTGATTGGTGGCACAAGGCTGTAATCCTAGCTACATTGAGATCTGAGGATCAAGGTTAGAAGCCAGCCCGCATAGGCAAGTCCATAAAACTCTTTTCTCCAATTAACTATCAAAAAAGCCATTATTGGATCTGTGGCTCAAGTGACAAAGTGCTAGTCTTGAGGAAAACAAAACTTCAAAGGCAGTGCGTAGGCCCTGATTTCAGGCCTCAGTACCAACACAACACAAAATCAAATCTCTAGCCAACATTTCCCTGAGCTTCTTTAACTTTCTCTACTGGTTTCCCAATAGCCTTATCTCCGGATCCTCACCAAAAGCATCTCTCCAGAAGCACCTGTTACTACAATCGCCCCTCTCCATAATTCCTTCTAGAACCTTTTGAAAAACATTTATAGATCCACGTGTGTACTGATCCTGGAGCTTGAACTGGCCTTGGGTGCTTTCCCTGAGATTCTCGAGTTCAAAGCTAGCGCTCCACTTGCTGGCTTTTTGGCGGTAAATGGAGATAAGGGTCTCAAGTACCATTGATGCCCGGGTTGGCTTGGAACCACGATCCTCAAATCTCAGCCTCCCGCATAGCTAGTATTACAGGCGTGAGCTCTCTTTCGCAAAGTCTTGTCTGCTTCTCTTGCAACAGACATCCCTTCCCCCTTCTTCCTCTTGGTGTCCTCTTGGAGGAAAACACCATATCCTCTTTCTTATCCCCAGAACTCCTTCAGTGAGCCACAAACTATCCCTCCCCCGGGATTTCTGTCACATATACGTCTTAGGCCCCTCAGGTTCCAATCTTCCATAGCCTCCTTCAGAAGACCGCCCTCCTTACACCAACTTTCCCGCTTGTCCCCAGGGGCAACGTTTGGGCCTAACTCCCTACCCCAGGTCTCTTGGCTCTTGGCTCTTGCACCTTCGCCCAGAGAAAAACATGTAGGCTTCTAGGATCCCAGATATCTTCGGAACGTCTTCAGCAAACAACGTCTCAGCAGGATCACTGTGTGGCGCAGTCGCAATTACAATTTATCTGTAATTCCCGCGCTTTCAGTCGTCACGGAAACCAGCTGCTTTACCGTTAAGCAACAGCCTCTAGGAACACTGGATCAAGACACGTTAGCGGAAGGGCGGAGTAAAATAAGCCGAGACTTTCGGCGTTCATGATTGGTCTCTCATTCTGACTATCAATGACGTGATCAAAAAGAGACTGAAGGATAAGTAATTCTGAATTTTCTCTTAAGCACCCGCCCCCTCGCCTCAACGCTTCCGGTTGAGGCATATTACGTCGAAGTAATGGAGGGAATTGCCCTTTGAGAAAGCGGTATGAGCTCAAAATAGTACCAAAAGCGGTCGCCAGAACAGGCCTTTCTGCCTGCAATGGATGCCTCCAGTTTAGATTAATAAAAGAATGGGGGGGGGGGCGGGCTGGGAAGGTGACTAAGTGGTAGAGTGCTTGGGTTCGATTCCTCAGCACCATATAAGCAGAAAAAAGCCAGAAGTGGCGCTGTGGCTCAAGTGGTAGAGTGCTAGCCTTGAGGTGAAGAGCTGAGGGGCAGCGCCCAGGCTCAGAGTTCAGGCCCCAAGACCAACAAATAAGAATGTGTGTGTGTGCGTAAACCTAAGATTTCCAGCATGCACTGCAGAACGAAAAGCTTTTGTCAGTGTTTCTTGTCTAATGGACGAGAGCTTCCGACATTGGGAGCAGGCACGACTCTCACGGCAACCGGGTTGATTAACCTGGAGACTTCCTCAGGGTTAAGCGCGTCAACAGCTGTGGATTGGAGTGTTGTGTTTTCGTTTCGTGCAAGCAGAACATAGGCTAGAGAACCTGAGAAGTCCCATAATTCCCATCGAGTCCTCCAAAGGCCAGTGACCTAAGGGAAGGCCGAGGGCGTCCACTCAGCTGGGAAAGGGAAATCCGCCGCGGCTCACGTCTGCGCACTTGAAGTTCCACCCCCTCGGCCCCTGTGTTTATTATTGTTGTACGGCTCACTTAGCTTCTGCCCCACCCCCTCCAACGCATCTTCAACCAATCAATAGGGTGATGATTTTGAGGGACGTGTTGTAAAAGCCAATCATCTTGTCGGAAGTTCGGGGAAACAAGGGACTAGGTCCTGTCTCTATCCGCCATGTTAGATTCGCCCCGCAGGGATAGCAGCCGAACTGGCAGCGAACGGTCTTTGCACTGGCCACAGGCAGGCGCCCCCCGGGGGCGAGAAGCTGGTAAGGAAGTGGCTGCGGTTACCCACGGGTGGGGTTTAGTCGCTCTTCTAGGACTTTGCGGGGGGCGGGGGAGAGATTAAAGGGAGAAATCTTTTTAAGAGGGGGGGATTTTTCCCCCCTGTCTAGGGCAGCCAATCTTTCAGTGACCAGATTGAAAAAAACGCCGTTCGTGTGGTGAGGGACCGTGGCGGTGGATAGCACGAGAGGGTTGGAGAGACTGTGGCTCTGAACGCCTGGTTTCTGATGGGAGAAGGTCAAAATTCCTCAGTACAGAAAGAGGGCCTAGGCAAAGAAAACGAGTCTTCGGGGATTGTGACACTGTCTTGGAGGGAATGAAGTGCTAGGAAATGGCAACTAAGGGACATGACATTACCCCCACACAATCTTCTCGTTTTGAGACCATCTTAAAGAGATCGTCGTCTGGCACCAATTTTGATGTTGGAAAGGCCCTGATTTTCCATTTTGTCAGATATCCAGCTTTCAGGTCACACTCTCCCCATCGATTCCCGCTCCTCCCCGCCTTCCCCAAGGACTGGGATTGAACCTACGGTAGGCCCTGACACTCTACCATTTGAATTAGACTCCGGGCCCAAGTCACCCATTTTTAAAGCCTAGAGAGCTCAAGTTCCCAAGTCTGCTTCTTTAAAGGTATTTGTTGCAACTTAAATCATAGAAGAAAAGCTGATTTGTGCTAAATGAAGGTGAGTCAGGAGTGTCAAAAGATAAATGCTAAAGGCTTAGGCCCCCAACCTGATTGCTGACTGTAAACCTACCGGAACCGATGGTCCTAACAATAATTTTGATACTCCCCACAAGTTCAAGATTAATGCTGTTGCTGAAAGAATTTCCACATGGAAGCCAAAAGAGAGGCAGATTTTTATATGTAAGCCAAACAGAGATAAGCAGTTCTTTATGAATACTTGGATGTGGTCCAGCTAAGCTAGAGTTTCCCACTTCCTGTTTTCTCTCATTGGCAAGCCTGCTGGATGAACTCCAAAGTACCTAAACTAATTTCCATTTGTGTAATTTGAAGGAAAAAAGGAAGATTAGTTTCCTTTCAAACTCAAAAATGTGGAAGTTTCTTGAAGTTAGAAAATGAGAATCTATTTCAGAATGTTCACTTTTAGCAGACTGAGTCAGTCACTTCTCTGACTTTTTTTTGCCCAATATCCCAGGGTGGGGATGGGGGGCTGGCAAGGATTCTGTCCAAATCTTAAGGACTCCAGAAATTGTTTTCCATGTGAATAAATATTGGATAGCATCAGGATTGGTTTCTAGGGACCAGTATTATTTTGGCAGTAAACTTTAGGTGAAGTCAAAGAATGGAAAAAAAAAATCAGTATCCATGAGAATTCAGGTTCTTAAAATGACAATCTCAGTTATATTCATTGTGCAGTAGACTATTTAAAACTTTAAGGGTTTTTTGTTACTGTTGTTTTGTTTCTTTTGCCATGGAGCATGATCTTGGCCTGGGTGCTGTTCCTGCACCTTTTTTGCTCAAGGCTAGCCCTCTGCCACTTAGAGTCACAGCTCTACTTCTGTTTTTTTTTTTTGTGGCTAATTGGAGATAAGAGTCTCATGACTTTCCTGCCCTGGGCTGGCTTTGATCCAAGATCCTCAGATCTCAGCCTCCTCAGTAGTTATGATTACAGGCATGAGCCACCAGCACCCGGCTCTATTTTTAAGTCTTACAGCATGTTTGTTAAAATTCTTAGATTTCAGTTATGGTTTCAGAGAATTTATACACTGTGTGTGGTGTGTATGCGTGTGGCTGGGAATTGAACCTTTTACACACTGGCACTCAATTTACCGATTAGCCATACTCCCAGTTTCCTCACCCACTTTTTTTTTAATCCTTTCAATAACAATGTGAAAGAGGCAAAGCAGAGTTATTAGCCTTGTTTTACAGATTAAATAACTGAAGCTCAGAGGTTTATTGACTTGCCTGCCCATAGTTACATAGTTAATACCATGCCAGAGATGTATCTGGAACCCAAGTCTTCCCATCTCTTGGGTTCACTCCCCCATAATACAGGAAACTTAATCCTATTCATCTCTTACATACTGTGCCTAGAGCAAAATGGGCTTTCTGTAGCTGCGGCTTAAAAATACTTGATAATGGGGGCTAGGAAGGTGGCTCAGTGGTAAAGTGTTTGCCTTGCATGCATGAGGCCCTGGGTTCGATTCCTCAGCACCACATAAGCAAAAAGAAAAAAAGCCGGAAGTGGCGCTGTGGCTCAAGTGGTAGAGCGCTAGCCTTGAGATGAAGAGCTGAAGGACAGCGCCCAGGCCCAGAGTTCAGACCCCATGACCGACAAAAAAAAAAAAAAAAAAAAAATACTTGATAATGGCCAGGTGAAGTGGATCATGTCTGTAATCCTAGCTACTCTGGAGGCAGAGATCCATCCATTCAGAGTCATTCCTGAGCAAAAAATTCATAAGACCTCCCCCCCCCCACACACACATATGAACCAATAGCTGAGTGTAGTGATGCACACCTTCATTCTAGCTGTGAAGTTAGGCTGAGATCAAGAAGATTAAGGCTCCAGGTCTGCCTGGGCAAAACAGTTCATGTGACTACATCTTAACAGAAAAAGCTGAGTATGGTGCTACATTTGTCATCCCAGCTAAAGAGAGAAATGCAAATTAGGATACCAGTCTACTCTAGGCAGAGTGAGCTAATCATAAAAATAACTAGAGCAAATAGGTAAGTGCTCAGCAAATGTCAAGTCCTGAGTTCAAGCTCCAGTGCTGGAATACAGATTGTGTGTGTATATCTGTGTTTAAAAGCTGATATTTTTCCATGAAAACTTACGTTGTATTGGAATAGCTTAAACTACTTTTTCATAAAGTCATAGAAATAAACCAAGACAACAGAGAGAATTGATTGGTAAACAAATCTTTAATTAAAAATAAATAAGGGGGAGCTGGGAAGGTGGCTCAGTGGTAGAGTGCTTGCCTTGCATGCACGAGGACCTGGGTTGGATTCCTCAGCACCACATAAGCAGAAAAAGCTGGAAGTGGCACTATCGCTCAAATGGTAGAGTGCTGGCCTTGAGTTGAAGAGCTGAGGGACAGTGCCCAGGCCCAGAGTTCAGGCCCCACAACCAACAAAATAAACAAAGGAACTGGTGGCTCATGCCTATAATCCTACTACTCTGGAGGCTGAGATCTTAAGGAACACAGTTCAAAGCCAGCCTGCGCAGAAAAGGCTGGGAAACTTTTATCTCCAATTAACCATCAGTAAGCTGGAAGTGGAGCTGTGCCCTGAGTTCAAGGATCATGACGGGAATGGGGGGGGGGGGGACACTTAGTGGTAGAGTGCTTGCCTAGCATGCATGAAGCCCTGGGTTTGATTCCTCAGAACCACAGAAACAAAAACCCAGAAGTAGTGATGTGGCTCAAATGGTAGAGTGCTAGCCTTGAGCAAAAGAAGCTCAGAGAGAGTGCCTTGGCCCTGAGTTCAAGCCCCAAGACTGGCAAAAGAAAAAAGAAAAAATTAGCCAGGCAATGGTGGCTCACACCGGTAATCCTAGCTACTCAGGAGGCTGAGGTCTCAGGATTAAGTTTTAAAGTCCCTAAGACCCTTTTCTCCAGTTAATCAGCAAAGGAGCTATAAGTGAAACTGTGACTCAGATGTTAGAATGCTAGCCTTGAGCAAAAAAGCTGAGGGACAGCACCAGGCTCTGAGTTCAAGCCCCAGGACTGGCAGAATAAATGAATACATGAGTCTGATAGAGCACCTGCCTGAAAGCTTGAGGCACTGAGTTTAAATTCCAGGAAACACGTTTCCCCTTCAAAAAAAAAAAGTTTAACCTTAATAGATTTTAGTTTTTGTATTTTTTGTGTTAGTAC